AGCTAAGCCTAGTTAAGCCAAGCCTAGTTAAGCTAAGCCTAGTTAAGCCAAGCCTAGTTAAGCTAAGCCTAGTTAAGCTAAGCCTAAGCCTAGTTAAGCCAAGCCTAGTTAAGCTAAGCCTAGTTAAGCTAAGCCTAGTTAAGCCTAAGCCTAAGCCTAGTGAAGCCAAGCCTAGTTAAGCTAAGCCTAGTTAAGCTAAGCCTAGTTAAGCCTAAGCCTAAGCCTAGTGAAGCCAAGCCTAGTTAAGCTAAGCCTAGTTAAGCTAAGCCTAGTTAAGCCTAAGCCTAGTTAAGCTAAGCCTAGTTAAGCCTAAGCCTAAGCCTAGTTAAGCCAAGCCTAGTTAAGCTAAGCCTAGTTAAACTAAGCCTAGTTAAGCTAAGCCTAAGCCTAGTTAAGCCAAGCCTAGTTAAGCCTAAGCCTAGTTAAGCTAAGCCTAGTTAAGCCTAAGCCTAAGCCTAGTTAAGCCAAGCCTAAGCCTAGTTAAGCCAAGCCTAGTTAAGCCAAGCCTAGTTAAGCTAAGCCTAGTTAAGCCAAGCCTAAGCCTAGTTAAGCCAAGCCTAGTTAAGCTAAGCCTAGTTAAGCTAAGCCTAGTTAAGCCAAGCCTAAGCCTAGTTAAGCCAAGCCTAGTTAAGCCAAGCCTAGTTAAGCTAAGCCTAGTTAAGCCAAGCCTAGTTAAGCTAAGCCTAGTTAAACTAAGCCTAGTTAAGCTAAAGCCTAAGCCTAGTTAAGCCTAAGCCTAAGCCTAGTTAAGCCAAACCTAGTTAAGCTAAGCCTAGTTAAGCTAAGCCTAGTTAAGCTAAGCCTAAGCCTAGTTAAGCCAAGCCTAATTAAGCTAAGCCTAGTTAAGCTAAGCCTAATTAAGCCTAAGCCTAAGCCTAGTTAAGCCAAGCCTAGTTAAGCCAAGCCTAGTTAAGCTAAGCCTAGTTAAGCCTAAGCCTAAGCCTAGTTAAGCCAAGCCTAGTTAAGCTAAGCCTAGTTAAGCCAAGCCTAGTTAAGCCTAAGCCTAGTTAAGCTAAGCCTAGTTAGCTAAGTATCGTTAAGCCTAAGCCTAGTTAAGCCTAAGCCTAAGCCTAAACCTAGTAAAGCCTAAGCCTAAACCTAGTTAATCCTAAGCCTAAACCTAGTTAATCCTAAACCTAAGCCTAGTTAATCCTAAGCCTAAGCCTAGTTAAGCCTAAGCCTAAACCTAAGTCTAGTTAAGCCTAAACCTAAGCCTAGTTAAGCCTAAGCCTAAGCCTAACCTAGTTAAGCCTAAGCCTAAGCCTAAACCTAGTTAAGCCTAAGCCTAAGCCTAAACCTAAGCCTAAGCGTAAGCCTAGTTAAGCCTAAGCCTAAGCCTAGTTAAGCCTAAGCCTATTTAAGCCTAAACCTAAGCCTAGTTAAGCCTCAGCCTAAGCCTAATTTAAAAAATTTTTAAAATTAAATTAATATGTGTACATATACCATTGCCTCCCCTTCCATACACGCCCTCCCTCCCCAGAGTTTTGTGTTCATTAGTTGTACTTATGTGCATGTATACAAGTCCTTAGGTTGATATCTTATCTACCCCAGATCTCTGTAATTTGACAGTCTGCTTGTTGCTTTACTGTTTCTATACCTATCTTTTGGTTCATCAGTTTATAATGTTCTTTATTATCCATAAATGAGTGGGGTCATGTGGTGTTTCTCTTTCATTGACTGGCTTATTTTACTCAGCATGATGTTCTCCAATTCCATCCAGGTTGCTGCAAATGATGAGAATTTCTTCTTTTTTATGGCAGCATAATATTCCATTGTGTAGATGTACCATAGTTTTAGGATCCAGTCATCTGCTGATGGGCACCCAGGCTGTTTCCAAATCCTAGCTATTGTAAATTGTGCTGCTATGAACATAGAGGTGCATATATCCTTTCTGATTGGTGTTTCTAGTTTCTTAGAATATATTTCTAGGGGTGGGATTACTGGGTCAAATGGGAGTTCCATTTTCAGTTTTTTGAGGAAGCTCCATACTGTTCTCCACAGTGGTTGCACCAGTATACATTCCCACCAGCAGCCCGAGGGTTCCTTTTTCTCCACAACTTCGCCAACACTTGTCGTTTGTTGATTTGTTGATGTTGGCCATTCTGACAGGTGTGAGATGGTACCACACTGTTGTTTTGATTTGCATCTCTCTCAAGTCTTTTATACTGTTTATTATAAGCTATTATCTGTGTTTTGGGGAAGTAGTTTCAAACAGAATAAGATGTATTATTTTAGAATTATTTCATGAATTCATTTTTCCAAGTTACTAATTTGTTCCCAGTCATCTCTAATAATAAAAGCATAATATGCAAATCAACCAAACAGCAGAACGATTGTCCAGACGACCAAACTATGACACCCACTGGTAACAGGCCAGCCAAGGCTGGTGCGATGGGATTGGTTGAGGGGCCCTGCCATCACCCTGTGATTGCCCCACAAAGGGAGGCCCAGGCCACTGGCTGTGGAGGGAGATGATTGATGAGGGGAGGGAGTTCTGCAATAACCTCAACGAGGGAGGCCCAGGCCACCCTCTGTCAGGTGATCAATCGAGGGTTCTGGGGAACCAGGGGGATAGGGCGGTGGACATGGGCATCACCAGGCCAAGGCTGGTGTGGGCAGGGGGTGGGGGCTGCAAGGGCACCGGCAGCTGGAGCTGTGAAGCCCTACCCTTGCACAAATTTCATGCATTGTACCTCTAGTTTATTAATTAATTAATTTCTACATGTCCCTAGTTACTATGAATGATTCAAGCATAATCTCTGATTACTTATACTTGTGTATTTCTTCTACACAATTCAAGATGGATTTTCTCTATGTACTCAATATTTCTAATAATCTTTAGAATGGTGTTAGTTGAATCCAGTGGGTGAAGAATCAATAGAGCTGGCTTAAAGTATTGCTATTATTTTCTATAATTAAAGCAATACTAATAAGTACTTAAGGATATTTGCTTTCTTTTGACCTTTATGGTAAACATTCTTTGATTTACTTTTACTTATTGTCTGGTTTTAGAGAAAGCACAAGAGGGAAACATTGATTTGTTGTTCTGCTTATTTGTGCATTCATTGGTTGGTTCTTGTATGTGCCCTGACTGGGGAATCAAACCCACAACCCTAGGGTATACTGGGACCATGCCCTAGTCAACTGAGCTACCTGGTCAGGGCAAAACTTGTTTTCTTTACACTCACAGTTATTAATGGGGATTACTGAGAATGTTTTAAATGAAGGGCAAAACTTGTTTTTTCTTTACACTAACAGTTATTAGTGGAGATTACTGAGAATGTTTTAAATGAAGGGCAGAACTTGTTTTCTTTACACTCACAGTTATTAATGGAGATTACTGAGAGTGTTTTAAATTAAGGTTATTGAATTTTTTCCCCACCTGATAAAACTTTTTAAAACTCCAAAATCACACTTGGGACTCTCATCGCCATTTCTTCATAAAACATCTCTTTTGTCTAGGTTATTTTCCCACTGTACCTGTGAAAAATTAATGGCTGGAAGTCACTTGCACTTGCTAAATTTGTTTTGCTTCTTGGTGCAGAGAGCGTTCCTAACCTGCTGCTTACTTGGGAGCCTCCTGTAGGTCACAGGACTTCAAAAGGCAGGATGCTTCCAACCTGCAGTTCAGAAGAGACACTGAGCCTCATAGACAAGCCACGGCACACCAGGAGTAGGGCAACACCCTACATAAATGGTATGGGAGGTCAAGGGTAGGTGAGTGAGCTGCAAAAGTTCAAAAAGCAAGACTGCTTTAGATGGTGGAATGGGAAGACAACGGATCGATAATCTCCTTGAGTCAAACTGTCCCAGGGCAGCTGAGAGATCCGGCACATTTTAGGGCAAGTGCTTGGATCTTAAGAGAAAGACGGGGCTAGTCATCATTGCTGCAGACTGTAGGTGAGGGAGCTGGTCATAATTAATCTTGGATCATGGTTAGCAGACCAATAGCATGGGACAAGGACTGCGTGGGGCAGGGTCTTCCCAAGAGCCATCTTATGGGAAATCTTTACCTTTTATTCTATTGTGTAAGTTGATAAAAATTTGGAGAGAGAAAAAAGGCAGGTGTATTGAAGGATGAAGCAGCTGGATGCAAGGAGGAAGAGGATCATAAATAACCATCACTGTCCTAGTAAAATTGGGGGGGAAAAATAGGCAATTGAATTATAACCAAGGCCTTTGATTTCTTTCTGGTATAAATCAGGGGTTCCATGTGATTTATTATTTTATCTTCTCAAAGAGAAAGGGCATTTAAAATGTTCAAGACCATTTAAAATGTCTCAGTCAACTACTATTGTATTGGCTTGAAGTTAAAAAGAAATACTTAAAAGAATAAAATATACATTTTCCACTGAAAGAGTTATTTCATGTTTATAATTGCTTAGCCAACAAATATTTCTTGATATCTGCAATAGGGAAGACATTTTCTAAATTTAAGAGTGGAGAAGACCTCAGAGAGCTTCTGACTGTTCCTATCATAATAAGCAGAGAGAAATTCCTTTAAAACAAATCAGATCAAGCCCTCCTCTCACCAATCTCACTCTCACTGCCCAGTCCCCGTCTGCAACCCTCATCCCCTCCTTTCCCTGGTATGACTGCTCTCCTCACAGATCTGCCTGTCATTCATTGCCCCACAACCTGAAGGAAGTTCCTTCCTGGCCAGAATATTTAACATTGTGAGTCCCACCCCCAGCACACTTAACTCTTTCCCTTTGGTTTCTCCCATCCCTTCTTACCTTCTGTTTCATTTTATAATTTACCTACTAATGTCATTTATTGTCTGTCTCCCTCCACTCTAATGTAAATTCCTTAAAGCAGGGCAGGGAATTGTTTTAGAACTTCATAATGTATATTTTCTTTTGTGTGGCTCCCCCTTCCCCCCCCCCCCCCCCCCACTCAGCATAATACTTTTGAAATTCACATATCATTGCATTTATCACGAGTTTGTGTCTTTTTACTGTGGAATAGCATTCCATAATGCATGTGTAACACTGTTTGTTCATTTCTTCTCCACCTGGGGCTTTTTCTAGTTTCTATCTGTTACGAATGAGCTGTTACAAACCAAAGCATTCTTAGAAACATGCAGTGGCTACCACTTACACTAGTTCTAAGTAGAAGCTCCTTAACGTTACCTCACAGGCACTGTGTAACTTAGCTTTCCTTACCTCTTCCTTGGTCTCACCTCTTGCCACTCTAATTTTCTTAACCTTACTGTTCTCCAGTCTTATTCCTTCCAGGACCCTGAAGCTTCCATGCCACGCCCACGTTAGCCTTTTGCATGCAATCCCTGCAGTGAGAACACTGTGTCTACTGGTTGCCTGGCACGTCTTGCTCATGTTCCTCTACTTATTACAGTGTGTCTCTGGGCCTGTACTTATAACCTCTCAGGCGTGAGTGAACAATAGTTCCCTGTTTCCACGGGGTATATATTCCTTTCTCTTGCATTCGCTATCTAGTTTTTCCTCTCTCCATTATCCAGATTCTATAACAGTAGCAAAAGGAATTGAAAAGAGATAGACCTTTCCCTACATGGTGAGAGAATGGGGAGGAGTCTTTATTTTCCCTGCTATCTCTAACTATTTTTCTCTCTCCACCCAGTCTCCTGGTTCTCTAACAGCATAGCCTGGAACCAGGCTGAAATAGACTCAAGAATTCTTGGGTCCTCCCAGGAGTAGGGACATTCATGTGTTAATTCTTACTGAGTGGGTCCTACGTCTGCAGGACCTTCTATTAGGTCCTAGGAAAGTCGCAAAGTGAGTTATGTGAGTAATCCCTCCTCACAAGGAATTCACAATCTCACCAGCGTGACTGGATGAAATCACATGAAGTAGATTTCAAGGAAGAAAACCAACAGACAGTGAGAAGGAGCGCAGCTGTACACCCATGAATAGCTTAAGGGCTTCCTGGATGTTGCGTGTACAGCAGGAACAGAACTGTGGGGAAACCAGAAAAAGTCTCATGGAAGAGGTAAGGATTGGCTAAATGTTTAGCACAAGGAGAAATACCAGGGAGTTAGGGAAATTGCTGTAGGGTTATGCTGGAGGGCCAGTATGCAACAGAGGGTGAGTCTAATTATCTGCTGGAACAGAGGGTCGATGCGGTGTGTGAAGGGTTTTTCTCAGTGGGACCATAATTGTCCCTCCTCTGAGCTTCCACAGCATTTATTGTGTGACTTGATTATCTCATTCTGCCTTGAGTGATTTATACATTTTCCTATTTCCTTAATTAAATCGCTCCTAGACAATAAAGACAATATATACCCCCTCTTTCATATAACTTCACACAGAGTCTAACAGTATATGGGTTTCAATCAATAATTGCTGGGTTAATAAATAGAGTTGATGGAAAGATAATCAGAGGAGTATAAGGGAGGGGAGAGAGGTCTCATGCTTGTGCTAATGAGTTTAAGATTGAACACTGAATGATCAAATATGTTAGAGATGTAATCAAAATAATATTTTAGAAAGAGGAATTTTTCTGTACTTTCACATGGTAGGTCAAAGATAAGATAAGTTTATGTTTTTATCTGTATAGGTGTTACCTAGACATCTGGGAACAGATTTCTCATGTAGATGATACATAGTGTTGAACTTTAATATAAATTTAGTCGTTGAAACTTTTGCATAAATATTATTGAATTTTATGGGCTGGGTCAAAGATTCTCTGATAATCTTATGGGTGTGAATAAATTTCTTCACAAAGGTTTTTTGGTATTGCTGATTATAAATAGGAGTGATACCTTGCTCTGGAGTAAGATTTTGGTATGTTTTAAATAATGTGTAAAGTACATGAAATTGCAAAAAAATCTGGAAATGGAATTCCAGAGTTACACTTAAAAGATTTTAAGGAAATGTTTATTCAAAATTTTTGGAAGTCTTTTGATTGAGAAACTATAAAAATATTTTATCAAGCTAATTTCTGCTCCCTCCTGGTCTTAGGATGCTTTAGCATAATTGCTGGCACTGTTTAGGTACTTTGATATAGATTCATTTTCAGTTCTAATAATCCTGTTTACATGAATTCTTTGTTACTGATATATAATACAGAGTTAAAAAAAAGGAATTTAAATGGTTATATTTAAATGAATCATTGCTGTTGATCAGTGACTTCAGTCAAGCTTTCAAGTCTTCTTATTTTGTCAGCATAGATTTGAATTTATGATCTAGATATGTTTAGAAAAAGTCTTTGCTGTGAATTTGGATTATAAAAATAATATATACTCAGTATACTCAATAATATATACTCAGTATAGCTTCAGAAATTATTTGCTTATGTGTTGAGTGAAGTATGTAATACAAAGATAAGTATTGCTGTTAGTGAATGAATGAACATGTTTACTCTCCCAGGGACTAAAGATGATAAGGACATTATCTCATGTTTCTGAATTTTTGTAGAACAGAAAGCATATACTTCCCAAAGATGTAAGTCGAAATTCTCGGATTTTATTTTGCAGGACTGAGCCCTCTGGAGGCTTTATCTCTTTGCATAGCTAACAGGGAGAGATCAGCTAGCTGAATGCTGCCTGTTTTCATTGGCGTGACCCAGCCTACTTCCGACACATGCCCAGAACTACATTCGTCCTTGAGATTGAAGCCAGACATTTAAGACTGCCGAGCATATATCAGAATTTACTCGTGAGAGAGCTCTAGACCAACTTAAACTGAACCCATTTCTTTTCCAAGGTAGGAAAAATATTATCCTAACCGAAACCATTTCCCCATCTCATTCAGATAAGATTTCAAGGTTTTAATCTAGAATTTTTTTTAAATATAAAATAGAATGATTAGCTGCACCATTATAATACATACAGCCCAGCTGCATATATTTAAGTGCATCTATTAATCTCTCTACCTGCTTCTCTCTTTTATTGATTTTTTTTGATAGCTTTGACATTGAAAACAAAGAAGAATTGGAGCCCTGTATTGAAAGGAGCTGTTGTGCAGCAGTTTTTTTCTTATCTAACGGTTACTTCTGCAAGAGAAAAATCTGAAAAATGACAGGGGCAAAGAGGAAAAAGAAAAGTGTGCTCTGGAGCCAGGTGAAGTCTCCCCGTGGGGCAGGCGTTAAACAGTGGTGCAGAAGGAGGCTGCCGATTTTGGAATGGGCATTACATTACAATCCGAAAGAAAACTTGCTTCCAGATACTGTGTCTGGGATCATGTTGGCAGTTCAACAGGTGACACAAGGTAATGTGTTGCACTTGATTTTCCTGTTTTGATGCAGAGAAACTGTCACTTTGTTTTAGTGGAAGCGTATTGTGACCTCAGATTTACAATTTAGCTAATGAAATGAATTTTTAATTAATCTGAGGAAAATAGACCCATTGAATATTTATATACTGAATATCTGTATAAATATATAGAGAGTCCTGTATGCCCTTAGAGATTACTTTGTGCTGGGGCTGACCAGCAGACCCTGAGCGATGGATGAATGATTACTCTGACACCCTATTGCCTTGAAAGAAAGGGCGAAGGGACTGCCTGGCTCTAGGAACCAGATAGCCCCTCTCTCCTGCCTCTTCTGGCTTTTATGGTAACAGAAGTTTGAGTTAAAGTTTAACTTTTAGATAAAATCAAGGTAGGCATTCTTGGGAGGACACATGTGTCTGCAGTGTCCTTTAGGCAAGGACGTCTAAAGATTAAACATAAAGATCCCGGTAAACACCTGAGTGTCCACACGCACACAGACTTGTTTGGAAAGGTCAAGGAACTATTAGGAGTGGCTGCCTTCAGCCAACTCCACTAGGTTAGAATTTTCTCCTTACAAACTTTCCAGCCAAGTCTCCCGTGCTCCCCCCCCCCCCCCAATATCGACTGTACAAGCCAATTTACAGTAATTCTCTATCACACCAGAAAATGTGTTATCACATAGCCCCTGGGTCAGCTGGGGCTCTTATCAGTCTTGTAGGAAAGATTTCAAATGAGTGACACAGGACAGCAGTGCTGTAGCAAGCAAGTTTATTAAAAATGCACTTGGCATGAAACGTAAGTGGGCACCCAGCTAATCTGAGTGCATGCCTGGTGTGGGTTCAAGGGATTTTGTGACCTTCTGTCTAGAGGTTTCCAGATTCCTCTGCTGGATTTCTTGGGCATAGACTAATAGATTTCAAGGTTCCTCTTTTACTCTGTGGTGGCTTTCCCAGAATTTATGAGACCATCTTGTATGTCCCAAGACTGCTTACCTCTTTGTTCAGTGAGTGAGATAAAATGCCTCATGTTTTCCTTCTCCCTTTCCCCCACCCCCTGCCTTAACAGTTCTTTCCAGGGTGATTTAAGCTATGTATTGTCTGGTTGGGGAGGAGAGGTATTAGCCATTTGCTCTCAAGTGTCCTTGGTTGGGGAAGATAAGGTCTTGTGATTCACAAGCTGGCTGCAAGCTGCCAAAACTGTTTGGCCTTGTTTAATTTTCTCATCTCGGATTCCCTATTCCACCTGCCCAGGAATTTTTCTAGCTTCTCACTCTTCTGTCACAACATTATGCACTGTATTTATTTCTCAGTAAGAAATTTAAACTGGTGAGAAGTCTTATTTTAATTTTCCCAAGGCAAATTCTAAATGACCTTTTGGATTTAGGTAGGTGTTTCTCTTGGTGAAAGCTTTTAGTTAGCTAGTGTGCACACACATGTGTGAGTGAGTGTGTGTGTGTGTGTGTGTTTTCCTTAAAGGTATACTCATTATATTTCTTTAATTCAGGTAATAATTTACTAACTGTAGCAAAGAAAGGAACTGTCTTCTCAGCCTTGAGAATTTGGAACACTCCTCAGCACAGACTTTGTATTAATAGATGTATGTTTCCTTGCAGTTTCACTACCTCCCTGTCTTGAACTATTATCCATACCATTCCATGATATGCACTCTTTTAACTGAATTATTGAGTAATTGAAACAAATTTATTTGTGTATTTGTGTTGTTTTTAATGTGATTAGAAACATCTGCCCTGGTGCTTTAAGATCCATAATACTACCAAATTTTATGGGATTACATTTTTCTGAATAATCTTGTATTGCATTTTTAATGACGATTTTGTCAACAGCAAAACATATTAATCTTTCATAAAAGTTCAAAATAAACAGGTTAGAGTTATTTCCTGCCTTGATTTTAGTCAGTTTTATTCAAATGAGACACTATGACATACTTTGAAACTTAGGTGATTAATTTACAAGGGCTTTTTTATAGTTTCAGTATTTGTTATAAATTTATTTTGTTTTACTTTAATGTGAAATTAAAGACATACTTAAAACCAATTTGTTTTTTCACCTTTGTAAAATATCAGGTTAATAAAGAAATTGGAGGTATAATAATAAAATACCTGTGGTATGTCATTAGTGATAGCATTTATGTTGTAAGTCATTAGTAATTAATTGTATAGATTTTGAGAAATTTTGTTTATGATTTACATATTTAATTAGTTATGAGGAAAAACTGGCCAGCTCCCAACTGATGAGAAACACAAAGTTTGTTCAGACCTCGTGTCTCCTAAAGTTATGGGTCTGGTTACTATTTCTCTCTCAAGTCTACCAGTGATTGGACAAGTCTCCACCGCTAGAAAGGCCTTAAATGTTTTTGTTAGTGCAATGAAAGATTCATTCTTCTAAAATTACCTCTTCTTTTAAAAACAATCCTCTCAAACTATCTCATGCCACTATGGAAATATGAAAAGTGAAATATCATGACATTGCTGTAAGGACTATTGTACTAAGGGGTAATGTTTTGTTATCCCTCATAACAAACAATAGAAACGAATACCTCTTTTCACTCTACTGAATGTATTTTGAAGATGAGCAAACATTCTAGAGAAGGTCATTGACTTAAAACATGCCACCAACATGGATGGCAAGCTAAATAGTATAAGACTCTGGTCTGGAGAGTATTTAGTTAACATTCTAGTCTGGGTGACACTTGGGGGGAAGTAGTTTCTGTGTTTCTAACCTGAAAACTCAAGCATTGAGACAGAGTGGAGGCCTACAATGCATCACTTGCCATATAAGAACCTAAGTCACTGAGGAGCAGTATGAGGATGTTTGGGCTTGTAATACTAAGGGATAACCTAGAATTCTGTTCCCACACCATGAAGATTTTATGCTGCCTTAGCAGGGAAAAGATGGATGTTCCTATAATTCTGCAGAATGTGTGGCATTACTGGCACAGAAAGAAACATATGTGTAGAAATGGAGCTTCATTGCACTCCTGAGGGCAGCTTAATGACATGTGAACAATAAATGGAAACTTCTGAAGCATATTATATTGCAAAAGTTAAAAGGTTTTCATGGTCTCAGGCTTTGGGGATATTGAACCCTAGTATTAGCTACCTAGCTCTAAACTGACTTTCTTTTACATATACACTAGCGGCCTGGCACACGACATTCATGCAAAGGGGAAGGGGCTCCCTCAGCCTGGCCTGTGCCCTCTTGCAATCTGGAACCCTTGGGGAATGTCTGCCCGCCGGCTTACATCCCCTGAGGGGTTCTTAGAGCTGCTGTGGAGGCGGGAGAGGCTACTACCACTACCACTGTGCTCTCCAGCCGTGAGCCCAATGCTCTCCCTGCGGAAGCACCACTCAGCCAGAAGCAGGGCTTGCTGCTCCTTAGCACTGTCTTGGAGGTGGGAGAGGCTCCCACCACCACCACTGCACTCTGCAGCTGTGAGTCCGGCTTCAGGCTGAGCGGCACTCCCCCTATGGGAGTGCACCGACCACCAGGGAGCAGCTGCTGCGTTAAGTGTCTGCCCCAGGTGGTCAGTGCACATCATAGCGACCGGTCGTACCACTGTTCAGTCAGTTTGCATATTAACTTTTTATTAGAGATGCCTAAATGACCGACCAATCTATAACATTTAGGCATCTATAATAAAAAGCAAATATGCACATTGACTGAATCAATATGCAAATTTATTTTTCTGGGCTTTCTGCTCTATTTCATAGACTAGAGGCCCGGTGCATGAAGTTCGTGCATGGAGGGGGGGTCCCTAAACCCGAACTGCACCCTCTCGCAATCTGGGACCCCTCGGGAGATGTCTGGTTGCCGGTTTTATGCATGAATAATATTCCATTGTATATATGTACCACATCTTCTTTCCCATTTGTTTATCAAAGGACATTTAGGTTGCATTCATATACTGTCTTTTAAAAATAATATTGTAATGAAAATAGGGATGTGTATATCCTTTTGAGTTAGTATTTTGGATTTCTTCGGATACATACTCGGAAGTAGAATTGCTATGTCATATTGTAGTTCTGTTTTTAATCTTTTGAGGAACCTATACTGTTTTTATATAATGGCTGCACTAATTTATAATCCCAAACAGCAATGTGTTTTTTCCATATCCTTGCCAGCACTTGTTGATTTATTGATGATAGCCATTCTGATATCTGTGAAGTGATATTTCATTCTGGTTTTCATTTGCATTTCCCTCATGATCACTGGTGTTGATTATTTTTAATATGTCTGTTGGCCACCTGTGTGTCATCATTGGAGAAATGCCTGTTCAGATCCTTAGCCCATTATTAAAATAAGGCTATTTGTTTTTCTGGGGTTAAGTTGTGTTAGTTCTTTATACATTTTGGATATTAACCCTTTCTCAGATATATCATTGGCAAATATCTTCTCCCATTTGGTAGGATGTGTGTTTTTTTTTATTGTTGTTGATGATTTCCTTCACTCACTGTGCATATGTTAGATTGATGTGGTCCCATTGGTTTATTTTTTTTTCTTTTGTTTTCCTTGCGTAGGGAGACACATAAAAAAATGTATCAGTAAAAGCAAAGCCAAAAAATTTACTGCCTATTTTTTTCTAGGAATTTTATGGTTTCAAGTCTTACATTTACATTTTAATTTATTTTGAATGGACTTTTGTAAATGATTTAAGATAGTGATCTAGTTTCATTATTGTATGTGTCTATCTGTATAGTTTTCACGACACCATTTATTGAAGAGACTATCTTTACCACATCGTATATACTTGTCTCCTCAGTTATAGATTGGTTGGTCATTTAGGCATGGAATTTTTCTGGGCTTTTTGCTCTATTTCATTGATCTATGTTCTGTTTTTATACCAGTACCAGGCTGTTTTCAGTACTATTGCCTTGTAGTATAGTTTGGTATCAAGTAGCATGATACCGCCAACTTTGTGATTGTTGTTTCTTTCTCATCTTTTGTGATTCCATATAAATTTCAGGACTATTTATTCTAATTTTGTGAAAACTGCCATTGGTTCTTTGATAGCAATTGCACCGAATCTAGATTGCTTTGGGTCATATATTAGTAAATATTTTAACAATGTTTACTCTTCGTATTCACGAGCGTGGTATATGCTTCCATTTATTTGTATCTTTTTTCATTTCTTTCTTCAATGTTGTATAGTTTTTAAGTGCAGGTCTTTCACCACCTTGGAATAAATAATAAAATACATAATAAATTTATGAGTATATACCCATTTATTCATAATACCTGTGATTTCATTTAAGTGGGATCATTTATTTAATTTCTCTTTCTGATAGTTTCCTTAAAGAAACTACAATGCCTTCTAGCACCCCAGATAGAGTTTTCCCAACCCTTGACCCTCCCACTCTTGCCCTGAAGTTAGTCATTTTCGTTTCTTTCTGTATGTCCCTGGAGCCATTCATGCTGTAACCCCTGTGCTAGAGTTTAGAGTAGCTGAATTTTTGAGCAAGTCAGTATGTGCTTGGTCTCTTTAAGACCTGACGTGCCTCCATCTATAGGAGCCCTTTGTATATCTGGGATACCACTAACGTCCACTGTGTTTTACAGCCAGGTGTTATGGGGACTCCTCTTCCTGGCATTGATGCCCCGGGTTGGGGAGCCTGATGTGGGACTGGGACCCCACATTTCTCAGGGAGACCTCTGCGTCTGAGATACCACTCTCAATCCTTATTCTCCACACCCGGGATGTGGGACCTGCCTGTTCTGCCTCTCTTCCTCTTTTGTGGTCTTGATGTTGCTTTTTTAATATCCTTAATTATAGGAATTCCTTTCCGCTAGTCTTCAGCTGGTTCTCAAAGAGAATTATTCTATAATTTAGTTGTAATTTTGATATGGCCGTTGGAGGATGTGAGCATAGAGTTGACTTATTTCGCCATCTTGACCAGAAGCTATTCCTGAAGGGTGTTTCACAAAAAGGATTGATAAGTGAGGGCAGGGAATCCTGTGGGAATAGTTGATCCATGGAGTAGTGTGAGCTGTCATTTTCTGGATAGTAACTGAAGCTCCATAACCATGGACTACAGTCTATAAAATAATATTGTTCTTGTATGTATGGGAGTAAAACCACTTCCTGTCTCTAAGTCTGCCTCTCCACTTTATAGTGAGGTCATTAAGACAACAAAATGTAAAGTCTTCAACAGATTGGCTCTCTCTATATAATTTCTGCGCAATTCTCAAGTTCTAGAAACAATCTCTTACAGTTCCAGTTTTCTTTGATTTTCAGAATAATTGCTTATTGTGTAAATCCAGACAAAACTGTCCTGAAAGTAAATACTTGTATCTTAAATATGAAACATCGCCTTCTCTGTGATAAATGGTTCTTTCTCATCAGTAGTGACAGTGTCAGTTTCCAGCTCTCTCAGCCAAGAGATTATAGCAGCAGCAGAGGCAGAGACTGAGCTACCTGCCTGCTTTCACGCTCCTTCTTGGTCAGGGTTCAGATCCTATGTCCACGGGAGCCATTCTCACTGCAGCCTGGGTCTGAAGAGGAAGGGGTGTTTGTGGTTAATGTCCAACTTCACACTCCCTGGGAATTTGGCAGTGCTCACAAGCCTTGAAACTACTGATGAGATTGATGTAGGAATGTAGAGTATTTTCTATTCCTCTACTATATTAAACGTTACTGTACCCACAAAACATTTTCCCTCAAATATTGCATCTTTTAAAGTCTTCCAGTAGTCATTTTTGTGTGTGTGGATATAGCAAACTTGCATTACCAATATATGATTGGTAATGAGCCATTAAATATCTTAAGTTTTTTATTTCATTTAAGTGGGATTTATGTGTAAATAATGTGTAAATCAAAAATCACCAAAATAATGAGCCATTAAAAATCTTAAGTTTTTTATTTCTCTCTCCAAACACACACACACTCTCTCTCTCTCTCTCTCTCTCTCTCTCTCTCTCTCTCTCTCTCTCTCTCTCTCTCTCTCTCTTTCTTCACTCTTCACTCTTCACTCTTCTTTTCCTTGCTTTTATCTCTATCCCTTTTTGGGTATCCTTTAACTTAATACTCATTTTTTATTTCATTCCTTTATACTTTTGTTTATTGTGTTGCTTTTGCTCTTATCTAAGTTAGATGAAGTAATACAAATATCTATTAGCACATGCAGCAATTTTATCCCAGATTAAGAAAGTTAAGGTTGTAATTGTGCTCTTATTGAATGGAACACCCTATTTATTAAACATGGAGAAGAATGTATATAGACTTGATTGGATTTATCAGGACCTTAACTAGCTGTTTAATGACAAGAACCAGCCACAAACAAGATCACGTTTATTTCGGTCACCTTTAAACCACTAGTAGTCATTTTGACACACTAGGACATTTTCTTGATGTGCATACAACATACAAAGTATGTAGACAGTAGAATCTATTAGGAATGAAGATGAATAGTTATTAGCTACTTTGAATAATAATAGTTATTAGCTCTTTGAATAATCAAAGTTGATTCTTTTTTCACTCTAAGAAATTGTACCGAAATGACTAAATCCCTGTGGTCCAGATATGAGAACTGCATGCATGCACATACTGGCCCCGCCTCCGAGATACACAATCTTAGGCCAGCCAGTCAGCCAGCCCAACAAGGCCACTTTGAATGTGTGCTCTTTCTGTCCCAGCCTTAGTCATCTTTCATGTCAGGCTTCTCATTTGTCAGTGGTAATGCTATAAACCCTGCCTATCTCACAGATGTTATTAGGCAAATAAAATTGTACATGTGAGCCCTAACCAGTTTGCTCAGTGGATAGAGCATTGGCCTGCTGACCAAAGGGCCACAGGTTCATTTCCAGTCAAGGGCATGTACCATGGCTGCAGATTCCGTCTGGGCGTGGGCCCCGGTCAGGGCTCATGCAGGAGACAACCAATTGATGAGTTTCTCTCACATCCATATTTCTCACTGTCTTTCCCTCTCTTTTCTGTTCTCCCTAAAAAATCAATGGGAAAATATCTTCAGGTGAGGATTAACAAAAACAAAACAAAAACTTTAAAAAAAAATACACATGAAAATGCTTTGCTAAGTGTGCAAAGATATTTTGCTGTGATATTGACACTTCTACAGGAAGACACTCAACACAAATATTTTCATGTAGTTATTAGAGGCCAGGAGAATGGATTTGTGCACTGGTGGGGGGGCAAGGCCTATGGAGGATCTGTCCTCTGTGGGAGTGCCGCTCATCCTGGTCAGCTGGGTAGCGCTCCTACTTCTGCGTGTGCACTGACCGCCAGGGGGCAGCTCCTGCATTGGGCGTCTGCCCTCTGGTGGTCAGTGCACATCATAGCAACTGGTCGACTGGTGATTCTGCTCATTCTACCATCCGGTTGCTGGGCTTTTATATATATAGATCTTTGTAAGCAAGGACAAAAAGCAGTACTCCAAAAATTGGAAATGAAACGAAATATAAACGAATGAGTGAATTTTCTGTTATTTAGAACCATGATGCTAGTCTCTCATGGAGCAAACAGAATAATAAAATTATGGCTTATCTTGTTACTGAATAAGCCAATATTCATTCTGCTTTGTAATGGACTACATTCTGGGTTTTAAAATCATCTTTGTTATGCTGCTCTTCTTCACAGGGCTGGCCTTTGCCATTCTCTCATCTGTGCACCCCGTGTTCGGTTTATACGGGTCTTTATTCCCTGCCATCATTTATGCCATCTTCGGAATGGGACGTCATGTTGTCACAGGTAATACTTTCTGTTTCTGATTATGCCTCTTGTGTTTGTGAAGAAAAGGACCTGAGAAGTGATCATTAGTTATTAGATTACATTTCTACCTTTACTATGGGAAATCTCAGCAAATATTAGAGCTAAGACATTTTACTTTCTGTGCCTCAGCCACTCGATGCATGTTGTGAACTACATTACTAGGTAACCAGTTTATTGTTCAAGAGTCTTTGCTTTTTTAGCTGTAATAAGCCTGTAAAAGAAAGACAAATGTTCTGATTTTACAATGAAATGTAGAAGATAAGCACTTTGAGAGATAAAGATAAGAATTTCTAAAATTTCGTGACTTAAATCTTGAAAAGTATTTTCCACATAATTGATCTTTTAGGTTTCTTCTAAGCTATAATCTCTAATGTGCTTTAATTAATATATATCTTTTAACTTATGGAGCTCTGCATTTCCAAATATAATGTGAACTGCCACAAATATATTGATATTGAACGAGATGGTTAAAAACATGGGCTTTAGAATTAGTCCTGGGTGTATATCTCGTATTTTGCTTGTTATCTGCATAAGCTTAAACAAAGTTTCAAAGGTTTATTTGATGCTTTCTTAATATTAAAATGCAAAAAAATGCACATGATTATATTAAGAATTAGATGAGATGATTGATATACAGTGTCTGGCTTAGAAACAAGACACTGTTTTGTGTACTTGCTACACAAGAAGGCATTGAAAATCGTTCCACATTTGTGTGAGACCAGGACAATTTTGGGGAAATACCATTGAACATTAATTACATTACACAGAAATGGCATACTTAATCATTTTATGGCCACAGAATGTTGTTATACTATAATAAAGGTATACTCTCCGATGAAAGCACATGAAGAATGATTAAACCTGGCTTGCATGTTCTGAAATGGATCCATATGGCTATGGGATTGGAAACAGATCTTAAAAGACAGCAGGGTTTGCACAAGTAGATAGAAGAGCAAGCATAGTAGGTGAAGAACTTCAAATTCATGCAAAGAACTCATATTAAGCCATACTGGGGTCTTTATATCTATCATCTTAACTATATTGCCCCAAACTCTGAAATATAGATATATGACTCCCATTTTACAGATGAGGCAATTTTAGACTCACAGTAATATGCTTTGAGAAAAAATGAGAGGAGCTAGATTTATGTCTAGTCCATGATCTTAATCCCTACACTGGGGATATTCTCTGTGCAGGTCTACCAAGAGGTTGGGATGTGTATGGTCTGGGAGGGAGTAGCAAGTAGATGGGTGTGGTTGTCTGTTGAAGGAATATGTGTATAAAAAAGGTGATTTTCTACTTATTCCATGGAGTGGAACAAAGGCTGGAGTAATGGGGGTGCAGAGGTGAGTGTTTCCAATAGATGGACTTGGTTTTACAGTATGGATTCAACTTCAATGATGGACTGCAACAATTTTTATTGTGTCTGTTACTAATAGGAGATTCCCCTCCCCATCCCCTGTTTTAGGCACTTGTGCCTTGACATCCTTAATATCAGCCAATGCGGTGGAACGGCTTGTCCCCCCGAGTAGCCAGAACCTCACTAAACAAAGTAACACAAGCATCCTGGGCTTATCTGACTTTGAGATGGAAAGAATTGGTATTGCTACATCTGTTTCCTTCTTGGGAGGTGTGATTCAGGTAAGTGGTACTGAGATGCGAGGATGAGGAAATTGAGACAGAGCAAAGGAGAGACAGTCAGAGCTTTATTTTTATTCATGTTCATGGGTGTGTCTGTTTAGATGGATAAGGGGCAGATGTGTTTTATCTTTATGAAAATACGGTCTGGTATAGAGAATAGTTACTCTATAAGTACTGGTTGAGTAAATGGGTTAGAATTAATATATTGAAGTTACAGAGAAATAGTTTTTGACTTTTTAAGAACAAACATTCTAAAAAGAGTTTTTCATTTCTGACTTGGGACCCTGGCTCACCACTGAGTTGTTTTACTTGGATTGTTCTTAGGATTCAAATATTTGAATGATAGTTGGTTTCCTACATAGTTAAGAGGGAAAAGCTTAATTCCTCTCTAGAAAAAAAAATATTATTGGAAAGAGTGTCTTCCTCAAGAAGACAAAATAAAAATTATAAAAATTTTTAGTTTGTCTTAGCAAATGGATTTGTTTGAAATGGCACCAGTGTCTCAGCCTGTGATAAATTTGACAAAGCTGGTTTCACTGGCATGGCGTCACATGAGTACTCTTCTAAATAATGATGTGCAGTTCTGTACATTAAAACCAACTCAGTCTTCCTGGCTGGGATTCCTACCTTATGCATAAGTCCCTGCCCTGGCTTCCAGTCTTCCTCGAAGAACTGAAGTGGTTAATCCTCTTATACTCCTGGCACCCGCCACCTGTGGTTACTCAGAACACATGCTCCTTTGGAGCTTCCTGCTATTTCACTGAAGAAAAAAAGAGGTGTTTTTTCTCTTGTTGTTATTTTATTTATTTATTTATTTATTTATTTATTTATTTTTGTCTTGCCAGTCCAGATTCAACCATATTAAGGCACCAGTAATGGTGCCATTTTAGATTTTTAAAATAATTGCAAATATGATCATGCAAATTTGATTCTCCCCCCCCCCCCAGAGCCCCATAGATCAACTGATTTTCTAGAATTTCTTGGTAACGTGTGTGATCAGGAAAAGAGAAATACAGGGAAGTAAATATTCAGGAAAAAAATAACATGTTCATTTTAATCGAAACACTTTCGATTGTGCCTAATACCATTTATTGGAGTCCTGGAGCCTGGTAATGCTGTCAAGAAAACTCCAGGGATTGAGCTCATAACATTGTAGCATCCCCTCTGACATTGGTTCTCCATGTCTGTGTGAAGTGCGGCGGTGTGGGATATGACACTGTCTGGCCAGCTTGGGAGACGTCTTGTGCTTTGTCCTCGTAGGTGGCCATGTTTGCCCTGCAGCTGGGCGGCGCTAGCTTTCTGTTCACGGAGCCTGTGATCAGCGCAATGACAACTGGGGCTGCCACGAATGTTGTGACTTCACAAGTCAAGTATCTCTTGGGAATGAAAATGCCCTACATAACCGGGTCATTCCGCTTATTTCACGTGAGTTTTCCAATTTGTCTTCGTTCATACACATTTTGGTGTGCATTTCACAAAGTAGAATTAGGTTCATTACAACACTGAGATATTTCCATGTTAAAGAAAGTTGGGTTAGCCCTAGCCGGTTTGGCTCAGTGGATAGAGCCTCGGCCTACAGACTCAAGGGTCCCAGGTTCGATTCCGGTCAAGGGCATGTACCTTGGTTGTGGGCACATCCCCAGTAGGGGGTGTGCATGAGGCGGTAATTGATGTTTCTCTCTCATCGATGTTTCTGGCTCTCTCTCTCCCTCTCTCTTCCTCTCTGTAAAAAATCAATAAAATACATTAAAAAAAAGTTATCTATAATACTAAAAGCAAACTATGCTAATTAGACAGGGCAACCAAGAGCAGAGGGCAATGTGGCAATCTATGTGACTGCCTTTGTTGGAAGTATTATCTCCTTCCTTAAAAACAAGGAGTTTCAGAACTGGAACACAGTTTCATCCTCAGCCCTGTCTCTGCAGGACACGCAAAGCATTTTTCTAGTTTAAACACTCATGCAGGCTGCAAAGTGGGAACCAAGAATGTTAATAAAAAGGGATTAAAAAGTCAGAAGGAAAGCAGAGCCCATGACTCTTTTTCTTCTCTAGAGAATGAGATCACAATTAGATATGTACACATGAGGTTTAGATGTGGAGAACAAATCTGAGATATCTGAGTTAAGAACTCATGGTGGTTTGCTGAAAGCCCATATCTGCTTCTCAGTTATTTTGATATTTCTGTTGTGAATTTTAGGAATGTTTCATATACCCTGAAAAATGGACAGCGTAAATTGAGTGGGAGAGAAACAGAAAGCTCATCGGTAGCTTGATTCAGTTGTGACTTGGATAGAAAATGTAGCAGGCTAAAGGACCTTGTTTTTCATCACTTTGAATATTTCATGACAATCCTGTATTCCTCTTGCTGCTTTTAAGATTCTTTCTTTGACTTTAACCTGTATACCCAGACAATACAAAATGAAATTGAAAGTAAACTGTGAGAAAAAGAAAAGAAAAGTACTCTCAAATAAATATAAAGAATACACACACACAAATGGATGTATTTGAAATGGCACCAGTGTCTCAGCCTATTTATCATCATCATCATATATATATATATATATATATATATATATATATATATATATATATTTGTGTGTGTGTGTGTGTGTGTGTGTATAGATCTATTGAGTATATAAAAGGCATACAGTCTTCTCACTGCTCACATTCTATGTATTTTAGGCAAAACAGACTCTTCCCACTACTTCTCTGATCCATCATCTGGCCGATTCCTGTTTATCTTCTTTAGGGACAGCTCTGCTGACCACTAACTCCTCTAAGACACATATGCTTCGGGTGCACCTTTATGTTTATAGCACCACGGTGAACTAATTTGTTGCTTTAATTGGTAATTTAAATTGCTAGATTGTTAGCTCTAAAAATACTGATGCTCACCTAAATTGTTCACCATTGTAGACCTAGAATTGAGCATGGTGGTTGGCATAAAGCATGTGACAATTGAAAGGTAAATAAAATATTGAATGAATGAGAATATGGTAATATTTTACGCTAAACCAAATATCTGATATCATTTAAATACCAGCGCTTAACTCCTTTGTATTGGATTCTCGGGTTTGAGGAAGAGTGGAGGGGTCCAAGAGACTTACTGAGCTTAACAGTAAGTCTCCCATGAGCATCTCTTTCTTGAAGTGGCTGGTCAGGAGGAGTCACACATAGTGTTCTTATGTATGAAAGAAGCAACCCCTGCATTCGCTAGAAGGGCAAAGAAATTTTGTGTGTGCAGCGAATGAGAGCTTTGCACTGACCACCCATCTCTACCTCACCTTCCCATCCTACAGCCATTAAGAGTTCTTGGTAAACATTGCGAAGTTCATTTGGAGTCAGAGGTGGTTACAGTGTGGGTGACCCTCTACTTTCTTTGCATTTCTTCTCATCTTTGTAGATCTACACATATGTGTTTGAGAACATCAAGTCTGTTCGCCTGGAAGCCCTGCTCCTATCCGTGCTGAGCATTGTGGTGCTTGTGACAGTGAAAGAGTTAAACGAGCAGTTTAAAAGGAGAATTAAAGCTGTCCTGCCTGTCGATTTGGTTCTGGTAAGTATGAAATCTACAGTTAGCATTCCGCCCTACAATGTCTGCCAGCTGTTGGGGTGACCTGCTGAGGTTCACCATGTTGCCTACAGTAGCACACAGCTGCTCCTACCTCTCATGAAGATGTCTCATTTGTGTGACTATCCATTCATGTAAGACCAGGAAACATTTGAAGTCACTTCACACACACGTTTTTGGTTATTACAGAATTTCCCATATTCTTGTTATTTTTATCTAAGTATAAGAACATATATCCTAAGACTTTGAATATGGAGACATTTCTAGAGGGGGCCAGAGGCTGTGGCTATAAATCCCATCCTTTGCTCCTAGTCAGGGATGGGATTTATACCTAAAATACTATGCAATCAACTTGAAAGAAAACAAAACAAAACAAAACAAGAGAAGCATAGCTGTGTGGACGTATTATATCTAAGGAGCACCAAAGGAACACCTAGAGACTGGTCAGAGGAGGGGAGTCATGGAAAGGAGAGCTCCCTGGGAGCTGGTGCTTGGCGGAGATACTGGCTGCAAAGTTTTGCACTTTATTTTTTACATTACAATCAAAAGAGGAGATGTAGGTGGGTCCCATGGAATCCACAGGTGGGAGAAGGTAAGGTGGGAAACCTCTGGGATTGGATAAAAAGTAGAAGGATAGACATACCTTTTTTACATCGTGGGTATAGGATAGTGCACAGTCAGCAATGAACTCAGTGACAATGAGGGGGTCTGTGGTCTCCGCAGGGCAGCGCCTGTGCCTTCAGGAGTCCGGAAAAAGGAAAATTACTTCGATATCCCAACGATATGTTATCATAGATGCAAACAATATTGAGAGGTACAGTTAAGGTAAAGATTGACCTTTGTCAAGGAAGATACCAGCCTCGGACATGACTACCCACCATAAACTGCTTTTAGTTAAAAAACAAAAAACAACAACAAGTTTTAATTTGAGAGCTTCCTTTGTGGTTACCTCAGCTCTCTGAATTTGCAAGGCCCCCTCACAGGCTTTCTCTGAGCTAGTCAGGTTAGCATGTGGCCCCTTTTTGTCCACATTATTGATTACTAATCTTTATTAGGAATATCAATGCAATTTCTCAAAACATGCTACTTTCTAAACCATCCCTTCATGTCACAAGAGACAAGTATTAAGGTTGGATTGTGGTAACTTCACACACACACACACACACACACACACACACACACTCCTATAGTCTGTTTTTCCCCCTCTTCAAAATCAGATATAATTGGGTTTAAGTAGAGTAAAACATTAAAAAAAAAAAAAGTCCTATATAATAAAAGGCTAATATGCAAATAGAGCAAATGGTGGAATAACCGGTTGCTATGATGTGTGCTGACCATCCAATCCCAGAGGTTTCCCACCTTATCTTCTCCCACCTGTGGATTCCATGGGACCCACCTACATCTCCTCTTTTGATTGTAATGTAAAAAATAAAGGGGGGTGTCAGTGGGTGCGAGTGGCACCAGCACCATCAACGTGTGGGAGCCGGGGTGGCTGTGGCACCGGGAACATGGCTACGAGCAGACAGGGAACCGGGGGCCGTGGTAGGAGGGGCAGGGCGGGAGCGCAGAGGATGGGCCGAGACCCGCCCATTTGCCTACTGCAGTTCTTTTCAAGGTGCACAAATTCTTGCCCTGGGCCCCTAGTCTATATAATAAAAGCATAAGCAACCATTATGGTGGAACCACCAGAATGATCGGTCGCTATAACGTGCACTGACCACGAAGGGACAGATGCTCAATGCAGGAGCTTCCCGTTGGTGGTCAGTGTGCTCCCACATGGGGAGAATCGCTCAGCCAGAAGCTGGGCTCACGGCTGGTGAACGTTAAGGAGCAGTGAGCTGGCGGCTGAAAGGAGCAAGGGGTCCCAGTTACGAGTCGGCGCAGGCAGGGCTGAGGGACACTCCTCCCCGCCCCCCGAGCACACAAAGTTCATGCATCAGGCCTCTAGTATTATTATAGTGCCATTTAATTTTCGAAACTGAAATTAAGTGCTCTAAAATCTCAGAAGTATCCTTTGAATTTTAAAATTTCCTAATTTTTAAAAAATTCGTATAACTGCTACATCACTCATGACAATCCTGGGACACATGAATAATGTTTACTTTCAACATTAATTTTTTAAAAGGTGTTTGAAAGGCTACTAATAATTTTTTTTCCAAATGTAACCACGCAGGTTATTGCTGCATCATTTGCTTGTTATTATATCGATATGGAAAATACATATGGATTAGATGTACTTGGTCATATTCCAAAAGGGTAATGTCTTTTTTCTTACTTTTTTGTTTGTGTGTTTCTTTGTTTTTTGAAAGACTAGACTGGAGGTAGGTGGTATGGATTTTATTTCTTTCAAAGAACCTGTAGAGAACAAAATTCTAATTATTTTCTTATTTTTTTAAGTGGTTAAAACAAATAATGCACATATAGAGAAAAACTAACATCTTAGACTGTTTAAATGTAACTAGGACATTTGGTAACTGTTTTTTCAAATTTATTGTTGACAGTATTATAGTTGTCCCCAATTTCCTATCCCCATCTGTTCCTCTCTATGCATGCAGCCCTCCCAGGCCTTCCCCACACTATTGTTTGTGTCCATGAGTTATGCATATATGCATATTAATTCTTTGGTTAATTTCTTCCTGTCTTCCAACTCCTTCCCTCTGAGATCTATTAGTTGATTGTCTTATACACATTGCTTCAGATAAAAGATTTGGAAGTTATTTACAAAAATATTGTACTTTTTAAATTAAATATATATTTTTATTGATTTCAGAGAGGAAGAAAGAGGGAGAGAGAGATAGAAACATCAACGATGAGAGAGATTCATTGATCATCTGCCTCCTGAATGTCCCACATTGGGGATAGAGCCCGCAACCCAGGCAGGAATGTGCCTTGACTGGGAATCGAACCAGGATCTCCTGATTCATAGGTCGGCGTTCAACTACTGAGCCATGCCAGTCAGGTGGTTGCTATTAAAAAAAAAAAAAAAAAAAAATATATATATATATATATATATATATATATATATATATATTTTGGGAGATATATATCTATAAAAAAATTATTATAGATATATATCTCCCAAAGGGTCATTAGGCATAAATAAATGATGAAACTTTATTTGGAGCAAGTGGTTTTCAAAAGACAATAAGACAATGGTCAGGTATTCATTGAAATAAATATTTTAAAAAATTCTTTAAACCTGAGATACAGTTAACGGTGGCCCTATATTTTGCAACAGAGGGTAGATGTAGCCTTTATGCCTATTTTCCCTGACATACGTGATGCATAGTTAAGTGTGCTGTGAAAGAATCGAGTTAGAAACATAATTAAGCTGATGAACTCAATGGCCAATTTGAGGATTAGCTCAGGAAGCTGTAGCTCACAGTAAACTAGTGTCCTCATACAGGTCTATCGTGTTCAAGGCAGGGAATCCAGTCTCTCATGCCAGCCAAATAAATATTTGAGAAGGTTCAAATGAAAGAAAGCTCCAAATACGCTTTTGTTCCAATATAGAACATTTTTCATCGAGTTATTTTTCATCATTGATGAGCCTTTATTAGCCGGCCGGGCAAGTTCCTGTGGTGAGCTCGAGTGCAGATGGCAGTGGTGTGGTGTTGTCCCCGGGGTGTTCCTTGCGAGTTTGCTTTTCTGTTCAATAATGTGGAAAGCAAAGGGCTTTTAAGGGCAAGGCTGCCTGGCTTTCTCATGGGCTTCTTACTTATTCTCTGTTAACTTCAGAGTCATACCTCCATAGTGGAATCCATTGCAAGTTGTTACAGAAATTACATGGAAGTTGATGGCTTCATTGTGTATTTCCTTCCACAGAATTCCTTCACCGAGAGCTCCCCCCATGAATGTCCTCTCCGCAGTAGTCACAGAAGCTTTTGGAGTCGCACTCGTGGGCTATGCGGCCTCTCTGGCTCTCGCTCAAGAATCTGCCAGAAAGTTCAAATATTCTGTGGATGACAACCAGGTGGAGTATGCCCCAGCCCCTCTTCATCGCTATCGTATCATCCTGCTGTGAACTCCCAGATCCTGAAAATGTTGACCCTATGAAAAATATAACTTTCCTACATGTACAGCAAGAATAGATTGGACAAAAAATAAAAGGAAAAAAAAAATCTCTACATCATTTATAGCTGAATATCTGTCCTTTATGGGTTGGTTTATAACTTTATCTTATTTTGAGAAAGAGGGGCATCTTGATTTCCTTTTTAATTTGCTTTTAGGTGGGAATCCAAATATATTACCATTGAGTACTTACTTATAAAAATGATGATTTTTAAAGTTCAGAAAACAGTAGTATTACTCTTCTTAGTAGAAAACTAAAGGACGTGAAAATCTACTTTTGGAAGGTCAAACAATGCAGATCATGTTAATCACATTTTAGAATCTATTTCTCCCAGTGTCTTGGTTTTAAGTCCTGTGGTGTCCCCCTGCTCCCCCCGCCCCCCCCATATCCCTACAGCTCAGCAGAGATAGCTGCGGAACACTAGTTACAAATGTCAACTCACCTTTGTGTAATCTCACCCTGACACTGGGTGGGTGCTCTTCATTATTTTTGTGCCTAGTTTTGTCATCTGTACAAAAGAAGATTTATTCATTCAACAGATGAGTATCAAATCTTACTAACATCCAGGCACTGAAAACAAGGGATACGGTAGTATCTTTTCTCAACTCAGAGCCTCCTGTGGGTTTACCCTTGTACTCAGGTTAAAAATCTCTTCACCAAGGTTTACTAAGCTCCACATCCCTTTGTTTCTCTAGATATCCTTTTTCACTCTGTTTGCTGCCTGCTTTTCATTGAATCCACCACTTATGATTCTGGCTCAGGACATTTGCATTTGCTTTTCCCTTTTCCAGAAACTGGTCCCCTACATATTTGCATGCCTCCCTTATTTAAATGTTCCCTTCTCAGAGAAGCCTAAAATAAAATCCTAAACTCCAGATTTTTCCATGCCTTCCTATGCTGTACTTGACATACTCATCTTGTTTTCTGTCAGCATTCCCTCACTAGAATGTCAGTTCAGTAAGGGCAGGGAGACTGGTCTCTGTAGTTACAGGTAACAGGAAAGGCAGAAAACAAAACAAAACATCAGGAGGTTTTTACAAGAATCCAGGTAAAATTAGACGGTATGTACCAGGATGTAGCAGTGGAAAAGATGAAAAGTGGACCGATTCTGGATTAAATGTAGATACCATCTGGGAAAAAGGGAAGGACTGAAGAATATTGTCATGTGACTGATGGGGATACATATTGAAAAATGTGTCATGAGGCTATTTTGTCATTTTTCAAACATCAGAGTTCTCTTTTACAAACCTAGATGGTATCAGCTACTACACACCTACATATACACTGAGTGGCCAGATTATTATGATCTCTGAATGCATAATAATCTGGCCACTCAGTGTATAACCTATATAATAAAAGGCTAATATGCAAATTGTCCCCTCGACCAGGAATTCAACCAGCAGATAGGCCAGCCAGCCCCCCATGCCCCCATGTCCCCTCCCCCTGGCCAGGCTGGCTGGACCCCACCCATGCATCAATTCATGCACTGAGTGGCAAGATTATTATGCGTTCAGAGATCATAATAATCTGGCCACTCAGAATATGTTATAGCCTATTGCTCCTAGACTACAAACCTGTGCAGCATGTTACTGTACAAAACAACATGAGACTTAATCCAGCCCAACAAAAATAATATGATCAAGAAACACAGTAAACATGAGATATATGAGGCTGCTGTCAGTGTTACAGCCTTGATTATAGAGATTTAAAAGACGGGGGAGAAATTGGCAACAGAGACAATAAATATCTTGTATTTTTCCATATGGTTGTTATGAGGATTAAATGATTAAAGTACTTAGAATAGTTTCTTCCTCATTTCATCACTTAGTAAATGTCCATTTTTGAGTGTGTGTGTGTGTGTGTGTGTGTGTGTGTGTGTGTGTTTTGTTTGTTTTTTTGCAATGGCTAAATCACAACCATTGGAGAGAACAGAAATGGGATATGAACAAGACTCATGGTTTGATAGATTGTACCCGTGGTCTCTAAAAGTTGATTGTTATTAAAAAATGATGTATTCCCCTGTTATCAATCTTCTAGGAATGTTTGGCTCACGGCCTCAGCAATGTGATTCCTTCATTTTTCTTCTGCATACCAAACGCTGCTGTCATGGGGAGGACCATTGGCCTATACAGCACAGGGGCAAAGACACAGGTAACTTCCTGTCTAGCAGGGAACTCCCTGGCCTCTATGCTCCTTCTGTGGGAGAGTGCTTAAGAGCAGGCTTCTGTCTGAAGTACAGAAGATAGCCTGGCTGACGTGGCTCAGTGGTTGAGTGGCGACCTATGAACCAGAAGTTCGTGGTTCCATTCCTGGTCATTGTGGGCTCACTGGGGCATGCAGGAAGCAGCTGGTTAATGATTCTCTCTCATCATTGATGTTTCTCTCTCTCCCTCTCCCTTCCTCTCTGAAACCAACAAAAATAGAAATATATTTTTTAAAAACACTGTTGTGGAGCAAATGTGAGTAAAGACCACTGGAGCCCAGACCAAATTAAAATTTAGGGAGCCTTTATTAGCCGGCCTGGTGAGTGACTAGCTGGGCGTCTGCTCTGCCATTCTCCATGCAATGAGTCCAGAGAACAGCCGCGACCCTTTGAGCAAGACCACTTTTAAGCACATTAACCACATCCTGTTTTTGCAGAGCATGTAACCTAAGACAAAACAATTATTCCCAAGTAACGTCAGAATCATGCCATCGACGACCATGTTATTCACAGGGTCATCCTGGTCTTCAGAAAGCTGACAGTGTCCTGTGAAAGAAGGCCTACGTGCTGGGAAGGGGCCATGAGACCATATCTTAAGACCTGGCCTAGTGTCAGCACTGACAACTCTATTGGGGCATAGTCCACCGTCTCTCTGGAATGGGGCATGCTCAAAAATTCCCACTCTCCAACAAGCACAGAAAATAGTTTTACTACTTCATTTTTTTTTTTCTAACTACTTTCAAGGAAGTCCATTTCTCCTCTCATTCTTGTAAATGTTCCTTCCAAAACCCAATAGATTCAGTGAGCTCACTAAAAAAAAATACTGCCAATAGCAGCTTTGCTGCTGGCGGCCTTTGAGCCAAAGCTCTCACTTCTGGAGCCTCTGATTTTCTGTTGTTGCTAAGCTAATCCATTTGAAGAATTTCTATTTTTGTTCACTTTCTTTAGATGAGATGAAATCAATTGTATGAAAAATTAGTCATTACCATTGCGATTCCTGTAGGAATAGATGTACAAGTATTTAAGTAAGTAATAAGATGTTTGTGCACATTTGAGGTTAAAGAAACAATTATGATATATTTTTAGGAACTCACGTCAACTCAACACTTGAGTGCCTCCTCTATACCAAGCAAGATGACAGTGATGACAATGAAGATAATCTGTGATGATTATCATAGTGTTAGTGTTAGTGGAAACATACATTGATTCATGTGCCAGGCATTGCATAGCATACTTTCTATGTAAATGAACTAACTCATTTAGCCCTTTTTAAGCAACTCTGAAGAAAGTACAATTATTATTCTCAGTTTCCACATGATAAAGTTAAAGAAAAGAGGGTTAAAGTAAATTACCCAGTTCACAGAGCTAATGAGTTAGCAGAGCTGGGATTTTAACCCAGATAGATTTACTCCAGATCTTGCACTGTTATCCGAAGTTCTATACAAGAAAATGCATGTATGTGTTAATATAGAAACTCATATTATCTGCTTATCATTATTAAAACAATTCACATGTATTTAACATTGGAATTGAACAAGGATTTGTAAACTATATTATGTGACAGGTCGAACATTTTTAGGAGCCTACCCTTATAGTAAGACTGTTTTTGGGGGTGGTGATTAGAATAATACATTTGAAAGGGTATGGTGTTTTGTTTTTGTTTTTACCTTGGGGAGCAAGTGGCAGGAGAAAGATGAGTAAAGACCAGCAGGAGTTTTAAGTATGCTGTTAAAAATCAGTAATGGACAGTTAAGGGAATGATCAGACAGTAAAAGAAAGAGGTGAGCTTGCCAAACAAGGATTTCAGTGTAGATTTTGTCTTTATTCAGTTACCTTAAAGAAAAAAGTTACAGCTAAAGGTTGAATGGAAGAACCTATCATTGTTCCAAATCTGGATGTTGCTGTTTACATTCCTTTGTTGAACCTGTATCTTCATAAGCTTTTTAGCAGGCTCTTGGTGTACACTCTGTTTCACCATCAACAGGATCAGAGTCTGTGGATACTGACAAGGGATTTGTCTCATCTGTCTTTTTCCATGACTATGCTGTACCTACTCCGTATCTTGATTTATAATCAAAGCCCGGAAGACCTAAAAAAATGTGTTCTGTAGTCATCTAGGAATAACATAGAAAATATTGCTGCTACTTTTGGTGAAGAAAGTCGATTTCGTATAGTTTATTTCAATATAAACAAAATCTAAACTTTGTTTTAAAAAATAATAGAATCATTTTATCATCCCTCAACCTGCTTGATTTTAGTAATTATTAATAGCAGCTTGACTATCATGATTTCATTTACATTTCTTCACTTTATTCCTAAATATAAAATGGTAAGGGTTGAAGAAAAGTAAAATACCTAGAAAATGTTTGTCCTATGGGTAATTAAGGATGTGAACATTTTACTAGTTAAAACATATAAGGGGGTACTTAGTTTTGTTTTGTTTCTGAGTTTTAAAAAAAGTTACAATTTAAAAAAAAAATTATTTTATTGATTTTTTACAGAGAGGAAGGGAGAGGAACAGAGAGCTAGAAACATCGATCAGCTGCCTCCTGCAAACTCCCCACTGGGGATGTGCCCGCAACCAAGGTACATGCCCTTGACTGGAATCGAACCAGGGACCCTTCAGTCCCCAGGCCGACGCTCTATCTACTGAGCCAAACTAGCTTCAGCAAAAGTTACAATTTTATCTTTCTTGTTCTGGCTGCAACTTGCTTTTAAATTTTTTCCTCTTAGTTGATCAGAGATATATAAGGAAACAGCACTTTATGTGCAAATTAAAGTAAAAACGGCAGTAAAGCTTTAAAAATATAACTAAGTGGGATTATTACAGAATCTTGCAGTTAGAGGATTTTATTATAGCACTGAAAATATCTTAATCTAACTTTTTTTTTGTGGCATTTACTGAGTTGTCCATCTCTGAAGTGATGACTTGGATTGCATGATCTCACAAATTTTTTTAAAAATCTGAAGTTTAGATCTGGATCTCTTACTTATGGAGACAACGAATGCAGTATTTTGAGGACATGGAGGGCAGAAGCTATTATATTATTGATTTTCATGCCTGAGGAGTAGATACATGAGGCAGAACTGATAAAAATTTCTTGTCCAATTAGATGCACTTGTCTTTTGTCCTCGGGCATCAACAATGATGAGGCAAGTGCAGTAAAGAATTTACTGACATTTGCCATTTGTTTATCTGACCCATTTTATTTTATGACTTCCCATGTAAAGTAAACAAATAGTATGTTTCACCCATCATTTGTCACTTTTATAAGTAAGACCCTTTTAACTCGAGTTATTTTAACAGTAGGACCAAAATTGTAGTTTAGTAAGAATGTTATTGATGTACATACAAAGCATCATGTAAATAAAAAACAAGTTAAATGTTAGAGAAAAGCCCAAAGGCAGTTATAGTTTACTGTTTTGAAATAGGATTATTTAATTAAGTTGTATTTTCTTTATCATCTTTACTACAAGATATTTTTGGGACCTTAAGATATACTAGTATTTAGCTTGATGGATCCCAATTTAGTTTATGGTCCATACACCTTCTAACTCCTTCGTTTTAGGACCTTCCTCAAATCTCCTTGTTTCCTGAGCCTCAGAGCATTTCACAGAGTGTAGGCTACCTTCCCCAAGTTCATATCTGCAGCTAAGAATAAGGGTTTTATTTTCAGGTACATTATAAATGCATGAGTGAGGATCCCACCCAAGGGTGAATGCCATTGTCTTTATCATGAAATAAACCTTGGCAGTTATCCTTTTTTTTCTTCTTCCATATAAGCGGTGGTATAATGAGTTACTTCTTAAGGTATCTGAATAAATTCTGTTATTTGCTCTCTGAACACCTAGCTCTCTCTGGTCTAGTGGAATGACAGCATCAATTTGTGTTTAAAATTTTTATCAAACCTAAGCTGGTGTGGCTCAGTGGTTGAGTGTTGACCTATGAACCAGGAGGTCACAGTTTGAGTCCCAGTCAGGGCACATGCCTGAGTTTTGGGCTCAATCCCATCCCTAGGAGGAGGTCGGAAGAGCATGGAGGAAGCAGCGGATTGATGATTCTCTCTCATCATTGATGCTTCTTTCTCTCTCTCTCTCTCTCTCTCTCTCTCTCTCTCTCTCTCTCTCTCTCTCTCTCTCCCTCTCCCTTCCTCTCTGAAATCAATAAAAATATGTTTATATATATTTTTTAAATGTTTGTAATGTAAAATCAGCAATTACTACTATATGACTAGTTTAGTGACAATTTGTTATACCTTCTGTTATGGGCAATTTTTTATTACCTAGTGACTTATTTCCTCTTTATATGCTGGTGAGTACTGGAGATTAAGGTCTACTAAATAAGGAAGGAACTTATGACTAGCTTCTTTTCCTTAGTTTAATTATTTTGAGTTTCATCTAGAATGTTGCCTACTAGTATATCAATAGTCTATTCTTGTATTCTTTTCTATTGCTAAGTAGTATTCTACTGTAAGGATATACCACAACTTGTTTATCTATTCACTAACTGGTGGACCTTTCAGTTATTTACAGTTTTTAGTGTTTGTTAATAAAGCTTTTTATAAGTATTGACATGCGTGTGCATTTTTATCTCTGTTAAACAGTTCTGGGATATACGGTAAGTGTATGTGTAGCTTCCTAAGAGACTGCCAAACTGTTTTCTCAGCAAAGTCTGAGAACGCCAGTTGTTCTGAATCCTTGCCAGCCCTTAGTATTGCTTGACTACTTGATTAGTTATATATTTATCTTTAGTGTTAGCCATTCTAATGGACCCTGATTCCCCGGGCTTTTTCAGTCATGGTATTCTGGGCATCTTTGTGGTGCTGTGAGAGCCCTCTTTTCTGTGAGGCTGCCAGTTTGGCCAAAAGTTTCTGTTACGTCATGGACATTTGCTTGTGTGAAACCAGGTTTTCCATTAGATGGAACATAGCTAAGAGTCAAGTCATGTGAACGTCCTCTTGTCAGCAGGGATTGATGTGAAGATGATACTCATAGCTTTTCAGGATTAATAAAATGCATCTGTTTCATTGCAGAGACTTCTACCGTAATCCTATATAACTGCTTCACACTGGAGTCCTTTGTTAGAAAGGACTCCACAGAAGAGGGTAAATGCCTCAGTGAAAACTTATCAGCAAAACCTTCAGCTGCATGTTCAAGTATTACCCAGATAACTCCCTGGGAAGTGAGGAGAGGAGTTAAACCAAAGGACCTTTAATTGAAATGTCTTTACTATGAAACAAAAAAAGCCATTGTTGTTATGTGTACTAAAAGTCTTTTTTTTTTCTTCTTCTTAGAATTGCTTTTCTGTCATCACTGACTTAATTAGATTGCACCAGTCTGTCAGATGTCACATTCGGATTCCTTCAGCTGAAAAATAGAGATAACAATCTACGTAATTTAATAATCATGTGCCAGCATATTGTTTTTCCTAATCAAGATGAACTAAGAATTTTATGCCCCCCATTTATTACATTGGAATTATTAGAAAGTTCACAGTTTTCTTTTTTATCTGTCTTGTATTTTACAGGTGGCTTGTCTCATATCTTGCATTTTCATCCTGACAGTCATTTATGCCGTAGGACCTTTGCTTTACTGGCTGCCAATGGTATAGTAGTGCTCTTCCATACGTTTACTTTCAATGAGAAGCATTGCATATTAAAATTTCTTAAATGACTGCCCTCGCTGGTTTGGCTCAGTGGATAAAGCATCAGCCTGCAGACGGAAGGGTCCCAGGTTCAATTCCAGCCAAGGGCACATGCTGGGTTGCAGGCTTGATCCCCAGTAGGGGGCAAGCAGGAGCTAGCCGATCAGTGGATCAGTGATTCTCTCTCATCATTGATGTTTCTAGTTCTCTCTTCCTCTCCCTTCATCTCTGAGACCCATAAAAACATATTTTTAAATTTCCTAAATGACTTACTTCAATAATCGTTAATGATCCCCAGGTCATTCATGTGACATAAGTGATGGTGGAACGGAGGAGAGGTGGAAAAAGACCATATGAATGGGGGAGGAACAGGAGTTTTCTGAGCATTAGGCTCTTGTATAAAATGCCATTATGGAATTAAATTTATTCTGTGCTCATTTGGAGAGTGTAACTAGGCCATATTTGTTATAAGAAATAGAATTTGGAAGAATTTTATCCTAATTTGTACCATTAGAAAATGTGTTTGGAGAAGAAAGTGGGATACAAAATACATCTTACCACCTTTGACACACCCTTATACACAGGTGACTCAGAGCCCGGCCAGCATGGGTCAGTGGTGGAACATGGACCTATGAACCAGGAGGTCATGGTTTGATTCCCAGTCAGGGCATATGCCCGGGTTGTGATCTCATCCCTCATGTAGGGCATGCAGAAGATAGCCAATCAGTAATTCTCTCTCATCATTGATCTCTCTCCCTCTCTCTCCGTCTCTGAAATCAATAAAAATATAGATAGACCCTTCTTTTCTTGGCAGGGTTCAGGCATGTGGTCCCGGACCCCGTAATGTACGGAGGCAGAGGGAGAGGGCTCCGGCGGTGTCCAGTCCGCCAGTTCTATCCTCAAGTGCCGGGACACAGAAAAAAAAAAAAATCTCTCTATATATATAGATAGAAACAAAACAAACAGAAAAAATCGAAAGGACTCAGAATCCTAGTCCCAGTGGTTCATCTTGCCTTTCCTAAGCCTGAGGTACCAAAGTTACACAAGTAAGATTCTGGTCTTCAGAGAACCAGAGATAGTGTCAGTCCTCCCTTGTCTTCATTCATATCATGAGATTATGTAATTTCCACTGGAGGATCTTTCAATAACCGAGTTCTTACTTCAACAGAGTTATAGCTTTCAGTGAAACCAGATAAACTGGTACGCAAGGCAGTTATAAAGGAATACTTAGCTATCTGGGGATCTCAGTTGGTTAGAGCATCATCCCAATATGCCAAGGTTTGCGGGTTTAATCCCCAATCAGGTCACATACCAGAATCAATCAATCAGTGCACAAATAAATGAAACAATATATCGACGTTTCTCTCTCTGAAGTCAATCCATAAATTTAAGAAATACATGATATAAATATTTAATTTGCAACAAACTATTTTCAAACAAATGGTGGTGGGTTATTATTATAAAGTTGAGGTCAATCAGCATTATACCATTTGCCCTTATCATTCATTACTTTTCTTTTTCCTTCTTTTTAATTTTTTTAGAATGACATGTTTTACCCTGTTATTTCCTAGAATTGATGTTGTATTCTTGAGGTGCAATAATTGGTTAGTTCTAAGCAAAATGAATACTACATTAGTCTTCTAAATGATGATTGCTTTTTTTCTAGTAAGTACTTTAAGAAAGGAAGAAATGAAAATAGTTTGGTCCTTTTAAATTTTGATTAAAATATTTATCTTGCCTTTTCATTGACCTATTTCTTATTTGTAGTGTGTTCTTGCAAGTATTATTGTCGTGGGACTGAAAGGAATGCTCATCCAGTTTCGGGATTTAAAAAAATATTGGAATGTGGATAAAATCGATTGGGTTAGTAGATATTGAACCTACATTTTCATCTTGGACTTAAACACATGTGAAAACTAAATTTTAATTGTTTCATTTGCAGAAAGTAGTTTTAGTCACTGGAGACTTTTACGCTTTACAAACTAGCAGTAATTTCTTTTAAAATCCCAAGAGATGCATTAAAATGTGAAGTGTCTTTATAAGAAATAGGCATGGGATCTTGTCAAATTTTGATTGATGTGTTGTTTGAGAACTTTTAAAGAAATGCTAACTAACTTGAGTGTATTGGGGATTCTTAATTTCTGTTATGGATTAATTTTTGCCAGTGAGTTCATGAAGAACACACTAATAAAGATATGACAAGTTTAACATGTATGAGAAATCATTAATTGCTAAGTTATGTACACCACATTAACATAAGGTGAAAATCTTAATAGTGACCATATTCATTCTAAATACAAACAGTCTCATGAATTGGGTTTTAAATCGATTATGTTGAGAGAATCATTATTTTAATAGGATATTGCCAGGAAGGGATTAAATTATACTAAACAGTGGGAAAGTGTGGCTTCTATTAACATAAATGTTTAACATGCTATTCAAGAGCCAAATTGGCTCTGATGCTTTAGCTTTTACAATTTCACAAAAAGTGGCCCCTTGCAAATAAAATCATAACTATCATTGGAGTGGTTGATCTAAAAATGGCTTTGATCATGATGTTAGATTCAGTCATTTTAACATTACGGTTTGAGTCGTGTGGAAAAGTAAATTAGTCCTTTTTATAGCAACCCTAGGAAGCAGAATATTTTTGGGAATGACCAAACAATATGGCATGCTTTTAAACCCCACACATCAACCAATAATTTACAGATCTTCAATAAAATGTTAGTTGGGGATCGAATTAAGTATTGGAGGTGTGTAGAAATAAAAGCATCTGCCTTTTACCCACCACTGCTCCTGGGAGTGTGATGGGGCAAGGATTTGTCTCTGTATTCCTGGGCTTCTGTTTATGACATCTTAAATAATACATTCTTCCTGAGAGATGCGGTTATTGGAATATTGTAGAATAAAACTGTGATGAATTTATCAATCCTGAGAATATCCAAGGACCCGCATCTTTTCTCTTTGCTTCTCTTTCAGGGCATTTGGGTCAGTACATATGTCTTTACAATATGTTTTGGTGCCAATGTGGGGCTACTGTTTGGCGTTGTTGGTACCATAGCTATGGTGATTGGTCGCTTCCCAAGGTAAGATCTTATTTAAATGTTCTGTTTATGATGACACTGCAGCACAGTATATGGTGTTACCGGTTACTTTTATTTCTGTTGTCTATATAGTGCTACAATTCATGTTTTATTTTCTATTGGAGACAAAAAGAAAAGGTTTTATCTACATATGGTATATAATAAAGTTGTTATTCCTGATGATTTTAGAAAAATGCAGATTTACCAGTGTCTCATTAACAAATGAGATATAAGGTCTAAATCATTTTAGGTATATTCCTATTATTAAAAGATAATTTTTACTTCTTCATGGTTAGTGCAGTAATTAGGAAATGACATCTTGTTTCCTATCTGCCTTAATTCTAGAGCAAAGACACTGAACATAAAAAATATGAAAGAAATGGAATTTGAAGTGAAAACAGAAATTGATGGTGTAAGTTTAGTTTTTGTTTTCTACTTTGTGCAATTATTAACAATTTTTGTGATTCGGATAGCTTTAAGATACCATTAAAAACAGATAAATTATGTCATTAACATAACTATTTTAACATAACTGTATGTATATATATATATATATATATATATATATATATATGGCAGTTGACAAGCAGCAAATAGAACATCTACAAGAAAAAACTTATATTAGCATTCATGTAAGACAATAGAACTACACTCCACAGTCGAATCATAGTCCAGATTAATGCAGGCATTTGGAAACCTCTTTTCCATTGCTCAGTTCCATAAAACAGTCAAACGAAACCAACAGGCCATTCCAAACTAAATGATGAAGGAAGAGAGGGAATAGGAAAGGAAATAAGTTGAAGTCAGATCTTGTTATAGTTTGTTGTTGCTGTTTTGTTTTGTTGTGGTTTTTTTTAACACACATACAATGAGATTGTATTATTAGCAGATAGTAATTTATTCCAATGATTATGGAAAGCCAGTAGAATTAGTTTCTTGTACAGTGCACACTTAAAAAAATAACAACTTTTTTTTAAATTTCCCTATCAGGCCAATTGTGTTTTTGTTCTAGGATTTTTATTCTGAGGGATGGCCAAGACAAGTTTAAAGTGAAGGGAAAAAATATTACCTTGAACTTTTTGCAGATTGGCCTCCCTTTGAACCTGTTTTGTAAATGTTTGGTTAACCTCATCTTTGTTTTTTACATTTTCTTGTTCCAGTACCTCCTGGTTACTTTCAGAGAGAACTGGCCTTCCACCAGCAGGGCCACAGTCAGGGTATTTCTGAGTGAACTGGGAGTGAGAAGTAGCACCAGGAGTCTTCCTGGGACACCAGGGGAATGGCCTGTTTTCAATAACCACCAAGAGATTTGGTTCTCAGAGAACTATTGGCAGTCAGAGCCTTTGAAAGTGCCCCAGTATCAACTTTCCTACCAATGCTGCCTTTCTTTTCTTTCCTCTCTCTTTGTGTGTGTGTGTGTGTGTGTGTATGTGTGTGTGTGTGTGTGTGTGTGTGTGTGTGTGTGTATGTTTTACATTTTACATAGGAATTAGTGCAGACTGACTCTTGAGCCCCTAAGATTCTCATGTATCTAGCCCACATGTACAGTTACATACATTAGCCTTGGCATTCTTAACTTTGAAACAGAATTGGAGTTTCAAACTTAAAATTCTTAAATAGAATATATATATATATATTTGTTGCCTCTTGTATGTACCCTGACCAGGATTGAACCTGCAACCTTGGTATATCAGGATGATGCTCTAACCAACTAAGCTACCAGACCAGGTTTAAGCTAACCAAGTTAGCTTGGTGGCAGTTAGTCATCCCTTTCTTTCATTCATATATTCTTCCATACTTTTTTAATATGAAATACTCATTCTCAATTTGGGATATCTCTTCCCACTCAATGCTAGTAAATTCAATCACATGGAGAATTTATTTTCTGGCACAATTTGAATCTTTATTCTTTAACAAATACCTGTCTTTTAATAATGTTAACATAAAACAATACATTAGTACAATCATGTGGTGTGATTAGTGGGTAGATATAATCACACCATGTGTAGGTTTGTGATAATTAAATATGACAGACTCAAGAATTGTTTTATTTTTGGTTTGTAAGAAATTTACCCTTGATTAGAAGTTGGTTTGGTAATTTAAGGCTTTTTAAAAATTGAGTTATTTGTAGCAAATCTCTTCACTTTCTAGAGTATAGTTAGTTGTACAACTAAAGGAACTTCCTGAGATAATCTAGATTAAATATTTACCCAATTATTAATATGAAGAAACTGAGAAAGGTTAAATGAATTATCCAACTTCACATTCTTAATATTTCCTCTTATTTGTCTTTCACTGCATGGATTCTTCACTATTTTCTGTGTCTCTTCTATGGACATACTAAAACAGGGAGGAGTAATGCTTTATTTAATTGGTAAGGAGTTATCATTTCATAGAAAATACCATCCTCTCAACTTCTCAGTCTGACCCCTTTCCCAAAGGTCATGGAGAAGACAGTTTTATTATAGTTGCATACCCATCAGTGGCTGCCTAGGGAGACCTGGGCAAATGGCCTCAGGAGATACTTTTCATAGTGACACTTTTCCTTCTCTTTTTCTGTGTGCCTTACCTACACCCTTAAATCCAGGGCCTCGATTTCTGATCTAATCTCTAGATTTCCTTCTCTCAATTAGGACTATCAGGCACTTGCAGGGTAATATGCCAGCCAAGGGAAAGCTATGTCCTTAGGAGGTCAATGACTGCCCGTTTGAGCCTGTAGTCCTATTTTTGCTTTTAAAATACTCATGGTTAAGTAAATGAAGTGTTGACTTTTAGATCAAGTAGAGAAAACCCTGTTTTGGAAGGATAAGTCTTCCTGGCAATCTTTGGTAGGCTGCTGTGTCTCCCAAACCCAGGAGGTAGGATAAGAGTCGTTTCCTAAAATGCTTCAGACTCATCTCATGGATATTCATGTTTCTTGGTGAAGAGAATGCACACATTCTCCCTGAGGAACATGATAGTCTATGAAGTTCTCCCAGTACATTTGAATAATGAAAACGTTAGCTAAGGGACTGCTCCCATGGCTGAGTGACTTTTGGCCGTGTGAGACACATTCATTGGACAGAGTTATCCTTTTTTATAGTCTTCAGCACTCTGAATTGAATCCATTTCTTTTCCGAAAAGGAAGCCCAGCAGCGGGTGAAAATTATCTCAGTAAACAACCCGCTTGTTTTTCTGAATGCAAAGAAGTTTCGTGCTGATCTAATGGATATAATCCAAAAAGAACAAGCCAGCAACCAGCCACTCGATGATACCAGCAAGGTAGGATCAACTATTTCATGATGATAATGTGATGATAACCTTATCTCGCCATACTAAAAAATGTACCACATCAATGGAATACATTATAAAAGTGTACAGAGACCTCTACCTCAGCAAAACATTCTATTGTATTATGATTTTTTATTTGGTTCTTACAGTTAGCTCTTGGGTAGTCTCTCATTTGTTATTTGGTGATTTGTTTACTAACTTATTAACTTATATATACTTTCATTCAGAATAGTATATCTAATGGACATGTGTACTAGGTACTATAATCTTGAATCAATAAAATCACTTAAATTAGTAGTTTCAATGTACCTTACACCACACAGTTTCCTCTATCTTTCATTAGTGTGGCTTATTTGTTGCAATCAAGCAACCAATATGGATACATTACTATTATTAAAGTCCATGCTCTAATTCAGGTTTTATTAGTGTTACCTATGTACTTTTTTTTCTGTTCCAGCACCCTTTTATACAGTTCCTCATGTTGTAGTTGAGAACCACTGCTCTAGAACCAAAGAACAGCTGCTGCAGAGCCTGAAACACAGATATTTACATTACGATTCATTAACAGTAGCAAGATTACAGTGATGAAGTAGCAATGAAAATAATTTTATGGTTGGGGGTCACCAACATGAGGAACTGTATTAAAGGGTTGCTGCAATAGAAAGGTTGAGAACCACTGCTTTAGGGCATCAGTTATAATCACTGTTAAGTTTAATTATAAAATAGAGTCATTTTCTATAAAATAGTCATTTTATTTTTTTAGAATTTCCATAAATCAGGAGTGTTTCTCAGACATTTCCATGGATCTTCTGATGAACATTTAACTTTTGTATAATATGAAATATAAGGTTAATGATTCTCAAAGAATGCTGTGTTAATGAGATTACTTCTGATTGGATATGCTACCTGAAAACACATGCAAATATTTAATTCCCAGTCAAAAATTAAAACAACTTGCATAAAATATTGTAAACAAGATAGTCTGAGTTGACAACATAAATTATCTACAGGACAAACTTATACTTAGAGCTATAATAATTATCATTTTATTATTTCAGTTTGTTGTGTTTACCATTCTGAAATAAGTAGACTATGGACAATACTTATTGAAGACTAGTATTTTGTTATGGAGGAAAGAATTATGTACTTTTTTTCAGGGACAGAAATACATTTTCGAAATGTCCTTATTCTTTATATTTGTTTCCATTTCAGTGTGAACAAAACTCATTGCTCAATTCTCTGTCCAATGGCAATTGCATTGGTGAGTCAGTTTGTGTTTTTTTTTTTTTAATAAAGTGTTTTGCCTTGAATATAGACCATAGAATGATACCTTCTTCCCATTCTCCTTTCTCTCTGCTTCCCTCCTCTGTCCTCCTTTTCCTCTCCTCCCTACCTTCCTTTTCCTCCATTCTGTATCTCCTCTTCCTCCTTCCTCCCACTTTCTCCTTCTGTTCTTCTCCGCCTTTCCCTGCTGGGTCCTTCTCTAACAACTTTTCTACATAAATTTTCTGACTATGAATTTTAGGTTGCAGCTTATTGTGAAATACATACTGTGTTGTAAAAGGCACGTCTTTTGTTAAGAACAGAACTATATAAGTAGATGGATAAAAAGAACTTGACCAAATTTGGTAACAAATTGTGTTATCATGTCATTTTAAGAACCTTTGCTAAAGATGTCAGTAGAGTAAGTCATTTATATAATCAAGACCATTTGTTTTTTTAAAAATTATTGATTATTTTCTCAATGTTTAACGAGAGTATCCATTTTAAGCAGTGATGTACTGGTAAATCTTTACGAACTCTTGGGGCAGAGAATACAGTGTGAGGTGCTGGAGAAGAACTGATGAGTAGCACTTGCCAATATCCAGGATATAAATAACTCTGTTATGGCTAATTTCAAGTTACCAACATGCTATTATTAAACTTGTAGCTGAAGAAATATGGACATAATTGACATATTAAAAAGATGTCAAAACAGCTGCTATGAGTTGACTTAAATTCTCTACTGTCTTTAAATACATCCCATACATTTTATTTCTAAAACAGATGTGTTGAAAAGTATGTGCATAGGAACCCTTCAAATATTGAACTCTATGGAAAATTGCAAATATGATTAGTCTTATTAAAACTATTTTTATATATAACTTGGTAAGAAAATATCTATTACATATATATCATATGAATATTAAACTATTCTAAGTTTAACTAATATTTAATTTGTAAATATTTTATGCTCTGAAAATTCAGTAAAATTTTTCCAAATGAAATAAAAAAATACTTATGAATCATAAAAACATGCAAGGAAATACATGTCCCAGATTAAACAAAGTTTAATATAGTATCTATAACCTAATTAATGTAGCATCGACGTGTGTGTGTGTGTGTGTGTGTGTATGTGTGTGTGTGTGTGATGAGACTAGGAGATAAAATGGATAAATTCAAATGTTTATCTTTGCTTGGCATATGTATTTTTATTTTTTCTGTGATCTGGATTCCCTGTTATCTCTGGTAATGGGCAGGGACAGGTTATATTTGAGAATATAAATAAGAGCTCTTGCATAATAGAGGTAGGTCCTCTGTTTAATTTGGCCAATAGTGCAGATGGTGATTGCTGGTGAGCGGTCAGTGGATCAACTACATTGTGGTTACTTCCCGTTTTGTTTAAGGTTCTAATTTGCCATTTTATTTCTTTTTAAAAAAAATATTTTTATTGATTTCATTGAGGAAGGGAGAAGCATGGCATGAAGAGGTGCTCAATAAATGCTGGTTTAATGAGAGCAGGAGGAGTTTTACAGCTCAAACTGTCATCAGTGTTCAATTAAAGCTGTCTGTATGACTGGAATGCTTAAATCTCCATATCATTTCTACCTTGTGAACTCGGCCCGCCCTGTCTGTGCTCCACAAGCAAGCCAGCAGCGAACTCTGGGGCTGCCTTTTCCGCACACAGTTCTCCATATTTTTGAGGCTCAGTGCACCTTCTCTCTCCTTCCCAGATGGTAGAACCTCCTCTCAGCCAGCCTACCGGCGCTTCAGGGCAATGTTTTCCCTGTTTTCGAGTTCTAAATTCAAATTTGTCGTGGTAGGCTGTATTCAGGTGTCTACCCTATGCCGCCATCTTGGTTTCTCCCATTTCTACCTTTTGAAAGTGTATATGTCTTTCAAGACTACTTTTGCCTGCAGTCTTCTTAATCACTCCAAAGAGACTTCTCCTTTCTTATAAATTCCCATCCTTTTTCCTTTTTTACATCTTAAATCATGTTACTTATCTTTGCCACTCATGGATAAACTCCTAGTAGAAATAGGACCTTCCTCACATTTGTACTTTTTATTACATTTGAAAAAAATGTTTTGAACATAGTATATGCTATTATTTTTCAATCCGTAACTGTTAATGTAGATCTAAAGGTGAAACTTAGAAACAAATCCTATGCCTGAATAGCAATTTTCAATGTATTAAAACCACTTCGCAGCACTTATCCTTTTCCTATCAGTTATTCTTTTACACAAGTGTTCAGAATTTATGTTACATTTTCTGCTTGCCTGTATTTTCCTCAAAGCAGTAGTTTTTAAAAATACACAATTTCCCTAATACTTCCTTTCAATGCTAATTGAGATTCTACCATATTCCCACTTTGCTGTAGCTACCATCAGGAGAAAAACCATGGGCATTTTAAGTGGCAAGTGATTCCAATTAAGAAATCATTTTTAAGAGAACTTCATAATAATTAGTCCATTGGAACATACTTGGCCAACTTTGTCCTCTGACTGTGAGAAAATCTTAGCCTATAGATCTGCTTGGAGAGCCCTGTCACTCCTTAGCAAGACCCGGATGGGGCCTGGCACTGCTTTGGAAGTATGTCATTTCCCACGAGGGAAGTGTGGCCCTTACGACATCAGTGTACAAACGTCAGGAACTCCTGTGAAAAAGTTTTTATTTTTTCCAACAGGTGCTTTCAGAGGCAGATTTCCCATGAACCCAATGCAACTTAATGTCAGGGCCCCTCCTTCAGGTCCTCCCCGAGGCCAACAGACAAGAGTCCACAGTGAATATTTTCCTTAAAAGTCTGACTCCAAATCTGTATAAGCTCCAGGCACAACACATCAGGGCTCTCCCTCTGGCCGTCCCCAGGAAGGAAACTGTGAGGTTGTGGGAAGGAGTGCCATGCAGAGTGGCTGTAGGCTTTGGTTCTAGTCCATGGGCACGGACTTGCCGGATCTCTCATCAAAAAGGAGGCCTAACCTGCTGAGCTTCTGTCCATCCATCTGTGGAATGACACTGGCAGTGAAGCTCTCCCCCCTCTTCTTCTCTGAGTTATGCAGTCATTACCTGAAATAACCTCTGAATAACAAAAATATAAAGATGTTGGAAATAATGAGCAATCAACTGAAAAATGTAAAGATTAAAGAGGGTTTGGTATTAGTCTCATTACATGCGAGGCCGCTGTTAGGGTGCCACTTTTCGACAAAATCAGCGACAGAAATCTCAAAGAATGGTCCTCACTGGAGTCTGTTCCTCCCACAGAAGAAGCAGCACAGCGCTGCCCGGAGGAGAGGACCTGCTCCCTGATCCTGGACTGCAGCGGGCTGGCCTTTTTTGACTCTGCTGGCGTCTCCGTGCTGGTTGAGGTATGGACAGGGTTTGTGTGGACTGATCCCTTCCTTTCCCTTCAGCAAGAGGGTTTCCACCATCGGCTCTCAGCGCTGGGGTCTTGACTCAGCTTGTTTCAATTCTCACCTCACCCCCTCTCTCCAGAGGACATAGACCTTGAGGCAATAGTTATTTCTTAAAATGGAAATAATATCATGGCAACTGACGTCTTCATTGTAGCCATCCTGAAAGAAGGTCATGGTAAAGGGCCACAGAGTCTCTTCAGAGTGAATTTCTTCATTCATTCATTCATTCATTCATTCATTTACTTTAATGCTTTATTGATTAAGTTATTACATGTGTCCTGATCATCCCATTGCCCTCCAACCCTCCTTTGGTGCCGTGCCCTCCCACCCCCTAGTGTCTGTGTCCATTGGTTAGGCTTATATGCATGCATACAAGTCCTTTGGTTGATCTCTCCCCCTTACCCCCACCCTCCCCTACCTTCCCTCTGAGGTTTGACAGTCTGATCGATGTTTCTCTGTTTCTGGATCTGTTTTTGTTCATCCGTTTATATTGTTTATTATATTCCACAAAGGAGTGAGATCATGTGATATTTATCTTTCTCTGACTGGCTTATTTCGCTTAGCATGATGCTCTCCAGTTCCATCCATCCTCTTCCGTTTTTCAATAACATTTCCTGGATTGCTTTCTTAGCTGCTTTAGCATAAGCAACATTCTCATATGAGTTAGAGGTTGAAGGAAATGGAAGGATTTCTATTTATTTTTATACTTAGGACACAGGAAAAATCAACCAACTGTAGATTATGTCTATCAGCATCCACAAACCACCCATGGCCCTGTGTTTGTGCTTTCGTGGGCTTCAGGAAAAGTCAAACACTGTCAGGTCACCTTGACTTAATCATTTTACCTTCTAAAAGCAGGAACTATAAATTCCATGGCCAAGGCTCATGTATTCATGATTTGTTTCATTGTTTGTCTGTGTGTTCATGCTCAGAGCAATACATCTCCCAGTCTGCAGTTCTCCTAACACAGACCTGGATGCTGGTACAGGAATATAAGGGATATTTTTGGATGTATCACGCATAATCTCAGAATTGCTGCTTGCTATTTTATATGTACGATACGTCACTATTACGTAACAAAATCCGTCCTACAGTTACTAAAACGTCAGATTTGCTTGCACTCCTGGGATGATTTTGATCTGGGTGAATTTAAGGTCAGGGCCTTCAACACCTGTTTCTATTGGAGCATTTCTTGGACTTAAATGAAGCAAGACCTTACAGTGTGGCAAGCACATCATTTAGGATCTCTTATGTTGATGTATCCTGAAAATGGAAGGAAGGCAAACAGCCTTATTTTCAAGTATAGTGAGGTTCTCAACTTACTATTCAGAGGTGGGATTTTGAGAGTCCATGAATATGCACAAATTGTACAAACATTAAAGTCAGCTGTTCTCATCACTTATAAACGGGTCCTTACCTTTGAATAAAAGAAGGTTGAGAACAATTTTATATAATTCGTAGAGGGAAGAAAAGGTAATTATTTAATAGTTTTCATTAAACGAAGTGGAAAATGTCAACAGCCAAATTTATTTGCATTAAAGGTAAACTGCCCTGATGCATTCCTCTTTGCTAAGACAGGCTCTTGTAGAAGTTTGCCAGGGTATGCCCGACTGTGCAGCAATACCGCCCTCTGGTGGTCTGAGATCATAAAAATGGCTTCTTTTTGCTGGAAATGGTCCTTGTTCCTGAAGCCCTTGTAGTCCCTTCTTGCTGGCTATCCTGCAGTAATTGCCGTTTCCTATTTTCATTCTTCCAGGCTTACAGGGATTGTACGAGCAGGAGTGTGGATGTGTCATTAGCCCATTGCACAGGTAAGGGAAAGTCCTTAGCTAACATGGATCCTCGAACAACTGAACAAGATCCCTGCTGCTACATATACTTTACATCACTTGTGCTTTCTTGCAGCTTCCTTGGTGAAAGCCATGAAGTACTTTGGAAACCTAGATTCAGAGAAGCCAATTTTTTTTAATTCAGTATCTGCTGCCATAAGTGATATCCATGCGAATAAAATGAGACAAGTAAGTCGGCCTGCTACAGTTATAAGAAAAATTAGAATGTAAGATCAAGGGCTTTGTATTTCTAAATATTAGCTTATTATTCCACTGGCATCTAACATTGCATTAAAATGTACCCTCCTCAGAGGCCTCCATCTCAAGTAAAGAAATGTTTCCATTCCTTTTCTGGACCAGGTATGAACATCTTATCTAATAAAAGAGTAATATGCAAGTTGACTGTCACTCCAACACACAAGATGGCTGTCCCCATGTGGTCAAAGATGGCTGCCCCCATGTGGACACAAGATGGCTGCCACAAGATGGCCAGTAGGGCAGGGCAGTTGGGAGGGACCAGGCCTGCAAGGGAGGGCAATTGAGGGTTATCAAGCCTGCAGGGCAGGGCAGTTAGGGGCAAACAGCCTGGCAGGGGAGCAGTTAGGCATCAATTAGGCTGGCAGAGAAGTGGTGAGGGGATGATCATGCTGGCAGGCAGAAGCAGTTAGGGGCAATAAATAAGGCAGGCAGGCAAGCAGTTGGGAGCCAGCAGTCCTGGATTGTGAGAGGAATGTCTGACTGCCTGTTTAGGTGGGATTGGGCCTACACGGGCAGTTGGACTTCCCTTGAGGGGTCCCAGATTGGAGAGGGTGCAGGCTGGGCTGAGGGACACCCCCTTCCTCCGTGCACAAATTTTGTGCAGCGGGCCTCTAGTTATTTAATAAGTTAGATTTTTCTAACAGTATCATGGCATAGAGGATTCGGTGATCACCTATTCAGTGCAGTCTGCTAGCTTGCAAAATAAATGCTTCTTTCTTGCAGGATCCACTGTTCTGGGAATTTGGTTCTACCTCTGTCAAATACAAAAACTCTAAATATAGCATTATAGCGTTTTTTTCTGCTCGGATGCCCTTGACTCTCTACAAATATTGCCATTTTGGAAATAGTGTCTAGAAAGCCCAGCACTGACACTGAATTGTCCAAATGCTGGGCTTTATGATTAGTCTTAGGACCGTTCCTAGAGCTCTGATTTCCTGTGATTTTTCCTTGATTTTAAAATCATGTTGCCTTTTCTCATCCCTAGATTAGAATTTGGTGCCTCCCAGAGTCATTTCTATTATATTCTATCAGAGCTGTATGCATTTACAAAATAATAACATTACTACTATTATTATTTCTAGAGGCCTGTTGCATGAAGATTCATGCAAGACTAGGCCTTCCTTCCCCTTGCTTCACTCCTGGCTACCTGAGAGCCTAGAAGTCCTTGCTCCCAGTGGAGCACCGCTGTTCCTGTAGCTCCTTCTACCTTCGCCCTCCTCCTCATAGCAGGTGTCCCACCCTGCCTGGTTGCTCTGTGCATGCATATGCAAATTAGCCCACCATCTTAATTGGATTAATTTGCATACTCACCCCTGATTGGGTGGTGAGCATCACAGATGTACAGTCAATTTGCATATTTCTCTTTTATTAGTGTGAGGTAACATCCTAACACTCATTGATCTAAGAATATGTTAAGAACTTCAGCCATATGAATTCACTAAATTTGCTATGAAATTATAAGGAAGATACTATTATTTAACCTATTATTTTATTTTGGAAATGAGGAAACTGGGCAGGTGGGGGTGAAGGGATTGATCAAAAAAGAAAATAAAGAGAAAAAAAACCTTATCAATAGGAACAATAGTAGCAGTGTGGTGATTGTGGTGGGGTGGTGGAGGAGGGATTAGGGCTGATAAATGGTGATGGGTGGAGACTTGACTTGGGGTGGTGAGCACACAATACAGTGTACAGATGATGTGCAGTGAAACTGTGCACCTGAAACCTGTATAATTTTGCTAACCAGTGTCATCCCAATAAATTCAATAAAAATGGAAAACAAAAGAGAAATGCTCCCTCTGGGAGATGTGGTGAGAAAGAATAAAATTGTTTTATCGTGGTGTCCTCCCAAAAGAAATAAAGAAATAATTTTTTTTTTTTAAATGGAGAAACAGAGGCCCAGAGAGTTCTAACATTTGTAAGTGATGGAGGCAGTTTCAAAGTCAGCACTCTGGTTCTGGCCTTGGAGCTTTAAACTGCTGACTCCGATGCCTCAGAGGCTTTTCGTGGCTTGGCTGGACAGCTTGCTTCCATTCCAACTGTTTTTTGTTTGTTTGTTTGTTTGTTTTTTAAACTGGTCAGCAGCATGTGCTTACTGCTTCCTTTTCAATTTCAGAATCTGAGCAAGCTCAGTGAGCAGAGTGAAGTCTGAAGCCCCCTTTGCTGCAGCACAGCTGTTGCTTTAGCAACTGCCCTGCGGAGAACACACGCTAGCGTTTGCACAACCTGTTTCGTGGTCCAGACCCTACAGAAGACCTCTGCTACTATCCGTGCAATGTGACTTGTTAACTACACAGTCCCTGGTCAGGATTTGCTAGCACTTTTTTTTCTGATTTTTGTTAGTAAGCAAATTGACTGAATAGGTTATTTTATAGTTATTTTATAAAATGTGGTTGTATTTAGTTTTGGTATACTGAAAGGTAAGCATGAATGTATTTCCTTTCTTCTGGTATTTTTTGTTGTTGTTATTTTATTTCTCTTTTGTTGTCAGTTAATTTGTAAAACTGAGAAACACCTTGTCATCAGAGACTTAGAACATTTGCAAACCGTTTGTAAAAATCCAGGATCTTCTGTAAGTAATATACAAAAACAACATAGTGAATTGCCATTTTTCCCTTACAAAAAGCACACACAATTAAATACCTATTTTATTTGATGTGATATGCAATTCACAGCAAATACCGGTAAGTCAAACAAAAACAAATGACACACTAGCAATCATTGTTCTCCATACCTTTCCATGCACGGTGGTCTTCCAGATTATTGTTGTCAAGATGATCGGTACCCCAATGGGACCAAGTTCTTTAGGTGAATCTCTTTTGCTGTGAATATTGGAAATGATTAGGAGATCATAAGACATGATACCCCTAATTTCCATATCCCCATCGCATAAAAAAACCTGTTTTCAGCTTAATTTTTATTGGAGCCCTAGAATGTGCAAGTTGCACATTTTATATTTTTTCACTAATATGATTTTCAGATGAGAAAATACCAGTGATAAGTATTTACAGCTTTGTGCTGTTCTGATGTAAGATTACAGTAGTTTGAGACTTCCTTATTTCAGAGACACAGTCAATCTTATATAATGAAAGGGTAATATGCACATAGACCAAACGGCAGAACAACCAAACAACCAATCAAAATGTAATATGCTAATGATATGCTAAGGCTGCTCAATCACTCGCTATGACATGCACTGACCACCAGGGGGAAGATAATCAACTGGCGAACCAGTTGCTATGATGTGCACTGACCACCAGGGGGAAAATGCTCCGACTGGTAGGTTAGCTTGCTGCTGGGGTCCAGCCGATTGGGACTGAGAGAGATGGGCTAGACATGCCCTGGAGCCCTCCCAGTACTTCTCCAGCTTGATTGTGCACCAGTGGGATCCTTCAGTCTGGCCTGTGCCCTCTCACAATCTGGGATCCCTTGGGAGATGTTGGAGAGCTAGTTTCAGCCCGATCCCGCAGGGAGAGTGCCAGATGCAGGACTCATGGCTGGTGAGAGCGCTGCCACAGAAGTGTGAGCCTCTCCCTATCGGGACTGATTGGGCACGATCCTGAGGCAGGCACGGTGGGACTGGGATGAGTGCGAGTGGCAGGAAGGAGTTGCCTGTGGCACTGGACTGTAGGTTTCAGCCTGATCTCTGCAGGCCACCCAGAAGGACTCCATCTGTGCACGAATTCGCACACTGGGCCTCTAGTGTAACATAATACACTTATCGCTGTCTAGCTATTTATGTATGTTTTACTTTTGTTGTAGAGAGCTTGGGTATGTGATTACTGTATTTTCCGGCATATAAGATGACTTTTGAAACGAAAAAAAGTCAACCGAAAATCGGGGCAAAAGACCAAAATTGCACAAAAATTACCTGCAGATCTTGACGGCAAAGTAAGTTCTTTGAAGTGGGGAGTAGTCTTATACAGTGAATATAGGCCTAAACCTATGTTTTAACTGTAAAACTAGGGGGTCGTCTTATACGCCGGAAAATACAGTATCTATAAACCCACCAACCAGCAGAGTAATTGACAAGCCCCAGAGGCCTATTTGAGAATAGCAGTGTCACTGCCGAAACAACGTGACTGACATGTCATTTTTATCTTGTGTATGCCTTTTTATTTTTTTACTTGCCCTTCTCCACACTGCTAATAAAAATACACATAGTCAAGATCTCACTTAACATAGTAGGGGCTTTATCAATGAAAACCAACCAGATTGTGATACAGCTTTCTCCTAAATCATAGTAACAATGTGATCCGGATAATAAACTGCACCACAGTCACCTGGTGTATTTGCGAAATATGCAGATTCAAGCACCCAATGCAGGCCTTAGTGGATCAACACTTCTTTGGGATGGCTTGAGGACTAGGGGCTTTCAAACACCCCTCCAGTGTTTAACTTTACACGCTGAAATTTGGAGTCACAGTCACAGAGCCTTTCTTCAGTCTGCTTTACGAAGAAAGCCCCTGATCTCTCATTCTCGGGCACATAGGTGTTCATCCCCAGTTCTATTTGGCCTTGTACATCAGTCACAGAGCGTTGTGGCTCCATAATAGATCTAGGAGGCTCCTCTTATGTGACCAGAACTAGGTGTGTAATCATGTCATCTGGCAAAGGACCAAGTAAAATTCACCCGTAGCTTTTGGCAAACATGAGTTGGTCGGAATCAGAAAATATTGGAAGCTTACTTGTATTATTCATATATTCCTGAGTGAACTTCCCAAGACTGGAAGTTTGTGTTGAATATCTCTCATCAGGGAACATGTCAGCTCCTTCTTAGTTTACAAATGCATGCTGTCTCTGACTGATACCAATGCAAGGAAATAGTCCCGCCCTCCAGGTTCTTCCTCACGGACGTCCCTTAGAAACACACGCAGGGAGGGAGAGATTTCCCTGCTGGCCCGAGGCCCCAGGTAATCGTTTTCTTTCAGTGCCTTTTTTGAAATTGCTTGTGTGATGCTACCAGAGTGGATTCTAGTTAAATATTGTATTGTGCACAGATGGAGCTGGGATAAAGGGAAGGTTTCAGCAGTATCGCTCAGCTGCTTTCAGTTCGAGGCTTCAGGCTGATGCAAACCGTCATAACTGGAGAGAAAAATAATATTCAATTATGAATCACTGCCAGATGTGTGAATTCATGCCTTCAGGTTTCATTTTTCTGAAATGTGCTTACTGTAGTACATTTTTTATCTACTTTGTGAGTCTCTTTCTTTGGGTAATGAATTTAATGGCATTAAATATTCAGGAGAGCCCCAAATTAAGAAAATATGGTTGCTGTGTGTTTAATCCCTTCACCTTTTTCACCCAGCCTCTTAACTCGGACACAGTCAACTATATGGTAATTACTAGAGAGAGGGGGGAGGTAGGAGGGATAAAGGGGGTATAAATAGTGATGGAAGGAAACTTGCCTTGGAGTGGTGAACACAACACAATATGCAGGTGATGTATTCTAGAACTGTATACCTGAAACCTATATTATTTTATTAATCAATGTCACCAACATCAATTCAATAAGAATTTTAAAAAGAAAATATGTATTTGGACTTTATCTCATAATCCAAAAAAAGGAAGTAAGAAATTGTTCTAAAGGTAATTCATGCAGCAATGTGCTAGGGTTCTTGTTTCACCATTAACGAAACCGGTTTGGCTCAGTGGATAGAGCATCGGCCTACGATTCCGGTCAAGGGCATGTACCTTGGCTGTGGGCAAATCCCCAGTAGGGGGTGTGCAAGAGGCAGCTGATCAGTGATTCTCTCTCATCGATGTTTCTAATTATCCCTCTATCTTCCGCTCTGTAAAAAATTAATTTATATATATATATATAAAGAATGGTTCAGCAATCTGGAGAAAGGCTGTGTGTAACTTAAGAGTCCAGAGACGAACGATAATTTTGAAAGGCATTGAGGGTCAGAGGAGCCTGGCTAAAGAAACCAAGTTCTTCTTGTCTCAGGACCCCTTGCTTTTTATTAACACAATTTGTCCCAAGGCAAGATGGAGATATACACTTCAAAGGGTAGGGCTTCATACAGAGTCCATTGTCAGAATAGCCTATGGCTGTTCAGGTGTTTGGCCAGTAGGAGACAATAACATGTAGATGAAGATGCCCTGAGCTGTCTGACAGCAAACAATTTAATACATCCCTTTCAGGTTTGGAGAAATGCCTTTAGCCATTTCCAACAGGCAATAACATATGTGACTCAGCCCTTGTTGAGTCCCCAAGTTCTATCAACCTTTTGATGAAACTCTTGCAATTATGACATGCTGGAACTGGCTTCCGGCAGTGTTCTTTAATCCAAGTCCCAGAGGAACTGTGAGGGGGACTCATTGTGCATCTTCCCAGGGCAACCCCTCTAGGTTAATGCCAATGTGAGGGAGAGACAGGGTAGTATGAAACTGGATGTAATAAAGCTTAGAAAAATTCCTTGCAGTCTAAGTTAAAATGGAACAGTATCTACTACCAGTATGTGTGTTCCTGAGATCCTGGATCCCAACTGTGGTGCATGTCACAGACCACCAGATGGTTTGGTAAACAAATGAGGTGCTGGAGGGTGATCCGATTTATGTCCTTGAAAATTCCTAGCCTCTAGAGCTGTCAGTCAATGCTTTCACTTCCCTGGGCTCAGTAATTTTGCTATTTCTGTTTTTCAGTATTTTATTTTTTAAATATATATTTTATTGATTTTTTACAGAGAGGAAGGGAGAGAGATAGAGAGCCAGAAACGTCGGTGAAAGAGAAACATCGTCCAGCCGCCTCCTGCACATCCCCCACTGGGGATGTGCCCGCAGCCAACGTACATGCCCTTGACCGGAATCGAACCCGGGACCTGTCAGTCTGCAGACCGATGCTCTACCACTGAGCCAAACCAGTTTCAGCTCTTTTTCAGTATTTTAAACCATCACCATATTGTTAACCTCTTTTCTAAATCCCATTTCTAAGGATCTTCTACAGGTAATCTTGCCTAACCCCACATTCTACATAAAGGCCATTATGCATTTTTTCTCCCTCAATTTTCTACTGATCTTGCCATCTAAAAATATACAGATCAAAATCCATATGTTTTCATACCTTTGTACAGAGCACAGTGCTTGCCACACTCATATTGCATTGTTCAAATGGTTAGAAAAATGGAAAACTCAATGTTTTAAGATGTGTGTTTTGTTTGTTTGTTTGTTGTTTGTTTTTGCTCTCGGAATTTACTGAAGAATTTACATGTTTTTATTTTAGGAAGGGAATTAATTACTGATATTGGCACCATAAAGCAACAGCATGATATATAGCACCATAAAGGTACATTTTCATTTCCTCCAGGTAGAGCATGTGTATCTTAAACATTTATTTTGAGAGGAACTGTTAATGACTAGACTTTAGGATAAAACCAGGTTGTTCCAGTAGATGTCACTATTTCTCTTTCAGTGAAAATGGTTTGCCATCAAATAATATACTTAAATGGAATGATCTAAGTAGTTTTATTTTTTTTAATTTAATGGATGAGTCAAACAGCACATGTTGTCCACAAAGAGACACATTTTAATATTTAACCTAATCCTGCATGTCAACTTTGATACTGGCATCGCACAGCCTTCTGTGCAAAGAGCCTGATGTCTATAGTGTTGCTAAGTATTTTAAAGAGAGGAATTCAAGTATAGTTCAATAATCT